GAAAATGCTTTGATTACTAAATTAGAGCAGTTAATGAGTGAAAGATATGGTATTGAAAAATATCAATTGTGTAATTATTTCAAAAGATTAAGTCCTGATGGCATCGATACAGCGATTACCAAAATTGAGAATGGCGAAGGAATAACTGGTTATCTCGGATTAGAACCAAAAGAAAGATTTCAAGCTTTCATTGACAGTTTTCAGGAGATGGAAAAAGTAGGAGGTCTCTCTCCGGAAGAAAAATTCTCCCTTGATAAATTAGTTGAAAAGGTAGGCGGTAGTCCCACTGAGACGCCCCAGCAATGAACCGATAAATTGAAAGCAATTGATGGTCTAACTAGTTTCGTGGTTGACGATACTTTAAAAACCAAATGAACTTCTTTACCAAATAAGCAATTTGAGAAGATTGATCAAGTAGAAAGTTTGGTTAAAGAAACCTTGGGCAGTGATAATAAAGTTGATCCTAAATTTCTTGAATTCGCTAAGGCTAAAAAGGTAACTTTGACTAGTTTAGCAGAAGTGCTGAAAGAAGAATCGAAAGAAGTTATTATTTTAGTTGAAAGATATAAATTTGACAAATTAGATGACAGTGCCACCAACGAGAAAGATAAAAAGAAAACTCAACAAACTAGAAGAATTAAAAAAGCCCTAAAAGATAAAGACAGTAATTTTGATATCACCAAGGATTTAGATGATGCTACTCTAAATGAAGCACTTTATAAAGTAAAAGTAAATGAGTTAGTAGTTAATGCCAGCAAGTTTTATAATAAGGATTTGCAAGAAATCACTACTGACAATCCCAAAGATAAAGAAGAAGCTTTTTGAAGAACTAAAAATCCAATGGCTTGAATTGCTGGATTTAGTTTAGGAGCGGTAGTGATTGGGGCTGTTAGTGCGATTATTTACTGAGATAGATTAAAGAACTGATGAGAAAAAGAAGGAGATGAAAATGAAGCAGAAGTTGAAGAAAAGAATGAAGAACTCTAATGAATAACGAGGAACTATTAAGGCAAAGACTAGAATTAATTTGTCGGATAAAGTTAAATCATGAACTTGTTCGGCAAGGGGTGATTTTATTCGGTAAACTATTCGGTGATAAATTTAAAAAACAGCACGAAGAATTAAAGCGAATATTAGCAAAGTCTGAAAAGTTAAAAAGGCGATATGAATAAAGAAACTAATACAATAAGAAGGGCAATAATTACCCAAGTTAGGAAATTTCAGGAAATGAGTAAAGAAGTATCCTTTATTTCTCCTGCAGGTTGTAAATTGTGAAACATTACTAATTCTAAAACTTTGCGGAGAAATAGGTTAAAACGCCATATCATTTTAGGTAACTGAGGGAAAGATTACGAGAATGTAGAGGAAATGCTGAAAATGGCTGAAAGCTTGCGAAAGTCTTATGTGAATCTAATATTTAGGACTAATTTTATTCGAGACCCAAAAGTTCAGAGAAAATTAGATGAAGTGCCTTTGGCATTAGCAGACATAATTAAGAAATATAAAGAAGAAAGTTAAATTGTTGGTTCCTTATTTCGAAACTCTCGCCAGCATTAGATGTGGTACCTTAATCTTAATCTTTTGTAGCTTTTTATTATCAAAAAGTCCAATAGGAATATATTGAAGAAGAGTTTTGTTATAAAATGCTCCACTCCCTTTTTCTTATTACCATGGGTTCTTGGGAGTGGTTAATATTTTTTAAACAATATGAATAATTTCAAAACCAAATGAATAGATGTTTTGTGTCCGACACACAAAAAGCTTAATTCGGAAGGAAAGTGGGAGAATTATTGTTTTAGCACTAATATTTTTTGTAATCAAAATCAAGCATTAATCTGTGCTAATTGCTATACTCGTATAGGAATTAATGATCAAGCAGAACAATATTGTCCAAAATGCAAAGTAACCGGGAGTTAGTTCTCTCCCGAAAAAGTTTTAATTCTGTGCGTCTGTTGGAAAAAAAACTAAAAAAAGAACAGGTTTTTCTTATTTCTCTCTGTTGGTCTTTTTTTTGAACGATTGAAGATTAGCGGAGAGATATTATATATGCTGAGTGGAATTAATTCACCCGCTCAGCTCCTATTTTTTAAGCAAATAAAAATAATGAATGAAACTAATAATTTAAGTTGTTTTTCTCTCTTTTGCCCTTTTACTAGTAAAAGTAAAGCAGAAATGGAAAAACACGAACAAGAACATAAAGTAGAGTCGGAAAAACTTGCCAAAGAAATTAACCTTGAAGATGATTGTGAATAACTTAGCAATTTAAATATGAATAAAAATAACGAACCAAAAAAAGACCTTGAATTTATCAAGAAAATATTAGAATGAGCCATTAATGAAGCAGATTTAGATTATTTGGAAGGATTAAGAACCAAAATGTCAGAAGTGATTGATGTTAGGAAGATAGGCGGAGAAAATAAAGAAGTTTGGTTAAATAAAATGATCGAAGGAGTAATTAAGACAAAGGAAATGAATGAATATTTTAGAAAAAATGAATAGTTTTTGAGAAAATTTAAAAAAAGTAGATTTTTCTACTAAACAAAACCTTAATAAGTTTCTCCAAGAACAATGGGGAAGTCCGGTTGACGAAATCCAAACTAATCTTTTACTTGAATTACAGAAAAAGATTTTTTCTTATTACGGCAAAGATCCATTTGACAATAATATTACTGTCTATAATTTTATTGGTTCAGTTGATTCAATTTCTGATATAGTTGAAAAGAAATTTAAAGAGGGTAGAAGAATGGGGCAGATTAAATATATCTTGAAAATGGAAGATGAGATATTTGAATGTTGAAAAGAGAACTTAAAACCCGAAAAGTGAGAAATGATCCAAAAATTCGCTATTTTAGGGCAAAAATTCGTTTTCAAATATAAAAAAAGGGGTAAAGATAATCAAATAATCGACTTCTATCCTTATGAAAATGATAACCCGAAAAAAGTTGAACCAGGCAATAACTCCACTGATAGTTTACAGAGTAAACTAAATGAAAAAAATTCTGATGACCCCACCCAAGCACTAGGCTAAAGCGTGGGGAGGAGAAACTGAATGGTCAACTAGCTGAAGCACATTTTTATTAAAAAATGGCTTCGCTGTGCTATTCGTTTCACTCCTTTCCCCAGCTTGCCTACTTCGCCTCCGTATATATGTGTATACGCGTGAAAAAAATTTTTAGAACTAATGAAAAAAAATGAATAGAACTTTAACTATTGATCCTTCCAGTGATGGAACGACTGGATACTTTCTGATTGATGAAAGTATGAGTGCAATGAATTTTTTTGAAGTAAAAAGCACTGTTTTTAATCAGCAAATGACTAGTTTATATGAATTGGTTAGAGAACATCAACCAGCCAATATTGTTTATGAAGGCATCCAATATATCAATAAGGACAATATAAGCAGTAATACCGGCTCTTTATTTAAATTAATGGGATCAATTGAAAGTTTAAAGTTTGTTTTTCCTTTTATTCGGCAAATAAAAAGTATTCCCTCTGTTCAAATTAAAGCATTAAAAGAGCGGATTTTACACCATAAAGAGCGGATAAATGAAATTAGTTTTAAAAAGGGGATCGGATGACTTTATAATGAACAGAAAATATCTAAACATCAATTAGACGCTTTTTTAGTCTACTACCTTTGAAATAAGAAATATGAAAAGTAAATTACAAAAATATTCCGATCAAGAACTTGTTAGCGAGTTGGAAAGGAGAAAAGAAATTAAAGAGAAATTGGCTAGAAATAATTTGACTATGTTGATTAGTTCTGATATTAAAGAGACTATTAGAATTCCCAAAAGAGTTAAAAAGATAAGAGTTTGTGATGAAAAAGAACTGGAAGGTTTTAAAGTAGCGTTATATGCGGATGAAACTTTAATTGATTTTGATAACTATGACTATTGAGAATAATTATGAATAATCCAACCAATTTAACATTAATAAAAGATAAAATCCAGCAATTAATTAATTCAGCCACTAAATTAGGTGAACGAAGTAAAAATCGATTACAATTGCTCTTTAAACAATTAGAGGAAGTCAGCGAACTGGAAACCTTAGCAAGATTAGAAGGTAAATTTTTAACCGCTTATTTATTATGAAAAAGCATTAAACGAGCCAATTATCAAACTAAACACTTTAATCTAACTGCTTATGACCAAGAAAAGTTATTAGCAACTATTAACCAAGAAATTGAGAAGATTGAAGAAAATAACCAGCAAGACCTGGCCCAAGAATTAACTAATGAGGAATTGTGACAGCAATTAAAACTGCGCTTAAAGTCAGGACAAATTGTCCGGACTGAATTTGTTAGCAAAGCCAAAGAATTACTAACTATAAATAAAGAAAACCATGAATAAAGACTTAGTCAAAGAAAATGAAGAACTAAAAAAACAGATCGCAGAACTTTCTAAATTTAAACACGAAAGAAAAGGCGGAAGCAAAAAAAAAACCTTAGATCAAATTTCTACTCCGGCTCATATTTCGGAATTTATGCGAGATTTAGTTCAGGAGGGTCAAAAAGTCCATTCAGAAAGTATAGTAATCGATATTTCTTGCGGTGCGGGTTCTTTATTAATCCCTTGAAAAGAAAGCGGGGCTTTGCTAATTGGAGCCGATATTGATGAAGAAGCTTTAGAATTATGTAAAATAAACCTCCCTCATGCTATCCTTTTTCACCACAATTCCTTAGAATGCAATACCCCTTGCCAAATTCAAGAACATATTTTTTACGAGGGAACTAAATTAGAGAAAGTTGAAGATTACCAAGAAAAGATTTTTGTGATGAACCCACCTTTTTCATTAGTGGGAAAGATGGTCAATAAAGTTTTAGAATTAGCGAGAAATGAATAGAATTATTACCATTTTACCTAATAGTTTTGAATGAAAAAGAGATTTCAAAGACCACCGAAAGAATGTTTTAGATAATTACCGAATAGAGACGATTATTGATTTACCTAGTTGCACTTTTTCACCACATGTAGAAGTTGGCACTATTATTCTCCAACTATCAATTAATGAACCCTCAGAATATTTTTACAAATTCAACATTAAAAATGATGGCTATACTCAAAATAAACGCAGAGAGAAAAATGATGGTGAAAATGACTTTGATATTTTTTGAAAACTTAAAGACAGTGATGAAACAGAAAAATCGTTCAAAAATGGCTTTCAAAAGTTAAAAATAGCCAAAATTAAAGAGCAAAAAGATTGAAGTTTTAAACTCCCGCCTGACTTTTCTTATCTTTTTAAACCTCTAACACCTATTGAGCAATTAGCGAAATTAGAAAAGCTAAAGAAATTAGATTTAGAATTTTTGGAACTTTGAAAGGAACAGAAAAAAAGCATGGATGAAAGAGCAGAAAGAATTAAACAACGATGAGGAATTCAATAAGGCGGATTAGTGGAAACGGTAAACGCAGCCTCTACGAGAGATGAGGAGATTTAAGGGTTCAAGTCCCTTATCCGCTACCAATTTAAGAAAATATAATGAACAATAATAATTTACAAAAACCCCAAATCGCCTTTACTGACATGAAATTAAAAGTAATGATCATTAATATTGAAAAAAGATTAGACAAAAATCAAAAGGACTTTTGAATAATTAAAACCCAAACCGATGAATACGCCCAAGAAAAATCCTATTTAGTTTTTAGCACTGATTATAGCCTAGTTCCCGAAACTCTTGCTTTACTGACTAATTATCAAGCCGAATTAAAACACCGAATGGTTTTATTAACTATCCGCAAAGAGAAAGGCAAAGAAAGAGTAATTGAAATGGAAGTAGAAAATTAAGAAAATGGCATTAGGAATTAGAAAAGAAATCAACGGAGTAACTTATTTATTTTGAAATAGGTTTTACTGATTAGAAGTTGGTCAGTTGAAATGCTCCAATTGCGAAAGGAAATATATCAAATATAAAAAGTTCTTTTATCGATTAGGAGTATTAAAAGAAAGAAGACAATATGATAAATATTGTTCGGACTGTAAGACAGTATTAGAAAATTATGAATAAACACCAAGAATATTTAAGAAATTTACAAAAAGAAAAGTGAGTAAAAATTCCCGGCAGGTCAAATGGAAACTGTCAACATCCCGAGGGCGATTACAGCACCTGCGGAAAATATGAAAACAGTTTGCTACTAACTCCGGCTGGAGGTAATCAAATTGCCGTTCCGACCGGCTATTCCCCTCGGAGTGAATTATGAATTTGTCCCGAGCATCTCCCTAATTATGAAGTTACCCATCGAAATGAATAATAACCCTTATCGAGCTTACTGAGAAAAAGCCCAAGAACAAAGTTTAAAACTAGCCCAATTCTATACTCCGGAATGTTTAGTAGAATTATGTTTAGAACTCTTAAAACCTACCGGAGAATTATTTGACCCATGCTGTGGTTTAGGCTCTTTTTTACTGAAAGCTAAAACCAAGGATGAAAACTTAAAAATTAGCGGGAATGATATTGCTACTGATTTAGTAGAATTGCCTTTTGAATTCACTAATTCTGATTATTTAACCAGTGAAGATAAAGAATATGATTATATCATTGCCAATATTCCTTTTAACTCTAAAAAAACCCATTGCCAGCTAGTAGATGAAAATTACTGCTGAATAGAAAAAATAATTAAGAACACGCGAAAAAAAGCCTTAATTATCCTACCTAGCGGAGTAAATTCAGGATTAAACCCCACCATTACCAAAAAAAGAATAGAGATAATTAATAGCGGAGTAATAGAGTTAGTTTGCCAATTGCCTAGTCATTTATTTAATCAAACGGGAATTGCTCCTTGTTTATGATTGATAAATAAAGAGAAAACCGAAAAAGATATTTATTTCCTAACTGCCGAAAAGTTTAGCGAGTGAAAAGACAAAAAAAGATTTTTAAGTGAAGAAAATATTAAACAGATTTGCGACCAAAAAAACTGAATTAAGACTGATTTAGCCAAAATAGAGGAAAATAATTATTGTTTAGCTCCACAAAGATTTGAACCTTTTGAGGAGGAGAAAAAAGAAATGTGAGAAATTAATCAGCAATTAATCAAGCATACTTACGAATTACGCTATTCTTTACATGCTTTAATTGCGGATGCTTATCAAAAGTTAATGCTAATAGAAGAATTGGATGATAGTGGAGAAATTAGAGTTGATTGTTTTGTAGAAGGAAAAAAGGTAACAGAATTACAAGAGAAAATAAAGAATTTGTTATTAGAAAAACATTTTTAGATATGGCATTAGAAAATTTACAACTACCACAAACACTCTTTTTCTCCCTCGGTGATTTGTTTTTTCAAAAATACCAAGATAGCCAAATTATCATTAAAGACCATTTTAAATTAGTTCGGGGCAAAACTCCTCCCACTAAAAACCCAGAATATTATGAAAATGGGACAATTAAAGAATTTTAAGAATTATGAACCAAATAAATAAAATTGGAGCAATCGTAGCGAAAGTATTTTTATTTTTGCCTTGTTTTTACACTTTTACTAATTACTTTTATGTTTTAAAGGAAGAACAACGAGCAACTGCTATGGGAATATTTTTTCTAATTGTCTCTATTGTCTATTTCTTTGCTTGTTTATGATTTTTAATCAAGAATTGAAACTAGAATGAAACAGAAAATGAAAGAACAAATAATTTATCATCATGCCCATTAAAGATCCTCAAAAAGCCCGAGAATACAAAAAAACGTGAATGGCCAATTATCGACAACAACAAAAAAATAATGTGGAACCTGTGGAACCTAATAAATTAGTGGAACCCCAAAATATTTTACCGCTTTCTAAATGTCCTAATTGCCAATCACTAAAAGAACAGTTAGAAGTGGTGGCTACCTTACCCACTGCTTATATAAATAACCTACTAGCCGAAAGAGATGAAAAGCACAGAAAAGATTTAGAAAGCATAAATAAACAAATCCAAGAAGTCGAGCAATTAAAGGCTGAAAATAAGGATTTAAAAAAGCAAATTAAAAAACTGAAAACATGTCCCAACTAATCTATAAAAATGGCTGTTGAGGTTGTAAAAAAGCCTGAGAATTTACCGATTGACAATTTTGGAATTCTTCCCTAAGTAAGGAGCAATATATCTGTCCCAAATATCAACAACATTTAAAAGACTATGAAAAATATGAATGAAAATAACAGAAAAATAATTTGTGACAACTGCTGAAAAGTATTACCTTTATCTTATCTCAAAAAACATAAATGAGAAAATCCTACAAGAGGAAGAAAAGTGTGATGTTCTAAATGCTATCCTCAAATAGTAAAAGGAATATTTAGGTGCCATGAATATGGCTGTGAAGAAGACTTAAAAACTAGGGATGGTGATAAATTTTACCTTGATTTAAATCAAAATATTTTTTGTGAAGAATGTTGAAGAAACAATGCTTAAAGTAATATGAAAAACATGAATATTAAAAAAATACAAGGAATACTCACCATAATATTAATTGGTTTGCATTCTTTTCTTATAGTTAGTAATCTTTTTCGCCTTTACTACTTTTCTGATCTCTCTAAATCAGGGCAATTTTTAGTAATTTTCCAACTTTTAATAAACCCACTACTCTTATTTTGGAATCTTCGAACTTTTAAGCGTTCAGAAGGATGATTTCAGCAAAAACTAACTGAACTGCGAAAGAAGAACGCAGAAATTAGAAATGAGATTGAATTTTATAAAAAGAAAGTAATTGCTGCGAGTTTTAAAAACCTAACTAAGTTTGCTGAAGATAAAAAATGAGCAGAAGAAGAACTAGCAAATTAAAAATTTGTTATAGAAACTGAAAGATTTAAACTAATGTACGATGATTACAAGAAAGAGGTGTTCCAAAACATGATTGCACTTAATGTTTTTATTAAAGATCTCCAAAAATATTCAGATGAACAAAAACAAATCTTAAAAGAAGCCCTTAAAGAACGTTAATACTATGACAGAAAAAAATAAAGATCCAAAAACTGATGGATTAATTAACGGCAAAACCATCGAGGAAGTTTTAGGCAAGAATTGAAAAGAGAAATTTGACAGTCTTAAAGGCGAAGAAATTATTAAAGAACGAGACCGATTAAAGAAATTAATTCAAGCAGAAAAAGTCAAAGAAATTCTAGAAGAATACAAAAGAAAAAATAAAGAAAAGTAATGAATAAACAAATAAAATCCCTCTACGAACTCTACAAAAATACCCCCAAAAAACTGAAAATAGTTTGCGATTGGGATGAAGTAATCCAACCTTGTGAACCTTTTGCTTTGTGAAAATCATTGACTTCTTTTCCGTCAGTTCCAACTGTCGAAGAACTTTTAAAAGATTTTTTAGGAAAAGAAAAAGAGTTTAAACACTTTTTTAGTTCCTTTTGAAAAGAAGATAATGAGGACGGAACTATACAATTAAAATATTCTCCTTATGGTTCAAAAATGGAAATCAAAAGTAATTTTGGTGATAACCATAATCCTTTCAATGACAGTTATCAAAAAATCAAAAACTCTCCCAACTTCTACCAAGAAGCACCATTTTTAACTATTGCGGAGGATTTGTTGAAACTAATTAAGGAGGATAAAGTAGATAGGTTAATTTTCTTGTCTGCTTACGATAAAAGAAAATTTCCTTACGGAGATAGTAGAAAGGTAGAAATCTTTAACCAAACATTTGGCAGTCTTGTCAGTGATTATAAGAGCAAAATAATAGAGGGAATAGGCACAGATAACAATATTGCTTCTGAAAGGTATCTTTGTGCTATGAAGTTAATCCCCTTTGACAGCGAAACCCAAGGGCAAACCAAAGCTGACTGAATTAAAGAAAATGCCTCTGATTTTGACTTAGTGATTGATGATAATCCAAATATTTGTAAGAGTTTGGTTGAAACTAATGGAGTTATTGCCAAGCCGTGTCTAGAATGTTTGATTAAATATGAAAACAAAAAATGGGCCTTAGGAAGTTGTGTGAGTGGCAAATGTCCTATAAATAATATAAATGTCCTTTCCCCTTATTATCCCTCTACGGCAGACCAACATTTCAAGACTGTATTATTAGTTAAGCAAGAAGTAAGCAATTTAAAGAAAGAGGATTTTAGTAAATGATATGGATATGAGTATTAAAATAACCGACAGTGCATTAATAATCATAGGTATTTTTGCTACAATAATAGCGATAATATGTAAATGAAGAAAATAAGTTATGGAAAATAGTTATCCAATTTGATTTTCACTTTTAATTTCATTGATAATTATAGTTGTTTTTTGAACCATTTTTATTATGGGAGTTTGAATAGGAACTCAATTTAAACAAAAACTATGACAAATAAAGAACTAATCGAAACTCAACATAAATTCTTAACTGATAAAGAATGGTGAATTGAGGAGAAGGATAATCAATACTTCTTATTTGTTAAGCACAATAATAAAACTTATCAAAATAGCATGGATAAAAAAAACGTTGAATTTGCTAAAAATGAGACTAATGAGATAATTAGTAAAGGTTTAGTTAGTCTTCTTATTGGCAAAATTGAAATAGAAATACTTAAAGACCAGTTAAAAAAATTTAAGCGATAAGTTATGGAAATAAGTCCCAGCAATCTAATCAGAATAATTGTCGGTAGTTTCCTCGCGGGAATGATCGCCGCCATGTTCCTCCGTGGTCTAACTAAATGAATTTGAAGAATTATTTTACTGGGAGGATTATTATTACTTTTATCTAAATTAATCCCTAATTAAAAATGCGCCAAAGATTTAAAAAACCTAAAGTAGAAAAAGAGGAAGCGATAGTTTCTTGCTATTATTGTTCTCAACCAAGTACCTACAAAACCGGAGCAACTTATTTATGTTCTAGTAATGAATGTGCGGTAAAGTGATGAGATAAGGAAAAAACTAACCAAAAATAAAATATATGGTCGTCGAACCAGCCGAAATAAACGAACCACCCGCCAACCAGCGAGAGAATAAATGAGAGAAAATCAAAAGAGAAATATTATTTTGAACTTCCTCCCTTGCTAACTTAATCACCATTTTCTTTTTTATTTACAAACTTATTAAAAATGGAAACTAAAATTAAAGAAGTAAAAAATCCAATTGATTGAGCCAGTATTAATGCAAACCCTGCTCCTTTTCATGTTTATTTAACTCCGAGAAAAAGAGGAAAAACCGATCATAAGGCTCAAAATTTTTTAGAACGAATTTATAATAATGAGAAAAATGTCGATGGTAAAGATGTTCTTTTCGTTTGAATAAGAAGAAATTGGCATGATAGTTTGAATTGTTCTCGTCCACTTTTCGAATCTAATATTCGCAAATTTTGCCAAAAGAAACAAAGTAATATTAATAATTGAGAAGTGAAAGAAGTTAAACAAAAAGATGCAAAAGATTGGGAAGTGAAAGAATATGCAGTTTTTTACAATGCGATACCTAGAATATTCCTTATAGATCTTTTCTCTTTTAAAAAAAAAAGAGGAGCAATTGATGCTGATGTTCTTTTTGAAGAAATAGTCTTTGACGAAGCAATACCTATCGACCAAGAATTTTTAAGGTTAGGGGAAAAAGACGAACAATGAATTTTTCTTGACCTTTTAGATAGTTTAAAGCGACAAAATAATAATTTGAAAATTACTTTTTTAGGCAATAATTATTTTTGGAGTGCTTGATTTTTAGATATTTTTGATGAAGATATGGGCAAATTAATTGCTATCAAAAAACAAGTTAATAAATTGAAAGAGAAAGAGGATAACAGTGGCATTTTAAGAGTAGTTACTTGGGAAGATATTCGCAAAAAAGATAATGAAGCGGGGAAAATAGACTGATTACTTTATGTTAACCTGATTGAAGGTGAATATGATGCCCAGTCAGCCGCTTTGGAAGAAAAAGTTAACCCTTTTAAAAGAAATTGAGATGATTTTATGATTCCATTAGTAAATAACAGTGGTAATTTAAAAAAATATCAAGTTGAACATGCGGTGGAAGATTATTTTTATTGTGAATTAGGAGAACGAGAAAAGAACAAACAATACTTTTTCATGCACTGAACTAAACACAAAAGAGGAGTTGATAGTGAATTACTTAATTTTTGCTGAGATTTACGGGACAAAGCAAATAGTAACTTTGTTAATTGTGTTATCAAAGATAAAAAAGATTGAGTTAATCGTTGAGTGAATATGTTAAAGGAAGGAGAGTTGTTTTTTACTGATTTTCGGGCTAGAGACTGATTTATTGATCAATTACGAGGAAATTAAATGGAAGAAAAGATTAATTTAAAGGAGTTGGGTTATGAATTAGAAAGAAATTTTCATATAATAACAAATCCTAATTTTTGGGATAAATATCCTATTCATTTGAGAGAAAGAGAGTTGAAAAAGAGAGAAATATTATCTCAACTTTTCTGAAAAGAACTTAAAAAACAGGAAGAAACTGAAAAATTTTATTTAAATGGGAAATTAATCACCGAAAAAGTTGTAAAGTGTAAAAAATGTAAAAATTATTTTATCATTATTCCACTTTCTCCCTCATCAACTCTTTTTAAAGATGATTTATGCTGTAAATGTTCTTAGGAGAAGAAATAATAGAATAATATGAAAAAAATAATTAAAAAAAGCACTACTATAACTGAAATGATGGTTAATGATAACGGAGAAACCTTTATTATTGACCGTAAACATAGTGTCCAATTCTAATTTAATCACCGGTCTTATAACTGATGTAGATTTAGCAGAATGAAAGAAATTAGACCAAATTCACCGGAAAGAAATCGCTAAGGAAATAGAAGAATACAATCAGAAAAATTCTCCGGCCAAAAATTAAAAAAAGATGGTTAGTGAAGAAATTAAAGATAAAGAGGAAAAACTTTCCTCCAAAGATTTTCCGCAAAACACTTTGGGCCATCGATTTCCTAATTTCCAAAGTTTTTACAAAGCGTTAACACCAAGTTTAGGATTTGTAGTTCTCAAAATTATCACTAAGGTAGAAGAAGATCCCAAAGGTAAAAAAGTTTCTAAGACTGATTGAACTAGAACTTATGAAAAAGGGTTGGATTATCACAAAGAAACTTTCGGACTAGGAATTTTAACAACGTTTATTGCTCGGGTTTTTTATTTTAAATTTAGAAACCGAGAATATGTTGGTGAAGAAAGAGAATTTGTAGATGAGTTTTTGGCTGAATTATCTGCTATAATTGCTGAAATTCGGAGAAAAGAAGTAGTTTGAAGCCAACTTTATTTAGAAATTGATAAACTAGCCAAAACTGATAAGACAGAAATTCGAAAAGGTCAAATTAGTGATAAAGGTGGCAAAACTTCTAGCGGAGACACTCAAAATTATCAAGTTTTAAGTAAAGAGTTAACTGATAAAAGAATTCAACAAGGTGCTACTTCTACTTTTGACCAAAAAGGAACTAGTGCTACTATTAATTACAAAGGAACTGATTATGCTCCATTAGGAAGAATTATTAATTCTTTAAATAGTTTGAATATTGATTTTTCCTCATTTTATCCTCGGCTTGAACATTTATGAAATCACCATTGCACTCCACCAAGTTTAGAATGAATTATTGACCCAATAACTGGTCGGAGAAAATGAGTAACGGAAGAAGAATATGAAGAGATTATGGAGCCGGAGAAAGCCGAAGAAAAAAAGAAGAGAAAAAAAGGAATAGATGCCCATGATGTTTTAAAAGAATATTTTGATACTGGCGATTGAAATAAATATTTAGAAGCCTTAAAAATCTATCACGAAGAAAACGAGGAAGAATATAGCAAATTACCGGACACTTCTAACCGGAAGCCCCGGGTCGCTATCCGAGTTAAACATGGTGAAAATTTGCTTAAAGCCTATCAAAAAGAAATCAAAAGGGGCGGAGATTTTAAACTAATTACCAAAGATGAATTCATGGCCAGAATTAGAGGAGAAAGAGCAGGATTTGTTAAAGTAGTTGGTTATGAAAGAGTTATCAAAAAAGTAGCTGATTATTTAGTAAGTTGAGAATTTTGACAAAAATGAGGCGGAGAAAAACCATCGCAATTAATTATTGGTTTAATGGGAGACCCCGGATTAGGAAAGACTTATATTTGTCAAGCAATTGGTAAAGCCTTAGGTACTGGATATTACCGAATTTCTTTAAATGGAAAAAATTCTTCTTCAATTATTTACGGAAGTCCGATTGATAATCCCGGAGCAGAAATGGGAGGAATTGTTAAGGCGATTAGTGAAAACAAAAGCCAATTTCCCGTAGTATTTTTTGATGAAATAGAAAAAGCGGGCAAAGAAGCTAAAGATGCTATTGCCGAACCGACTGATATAACTGGAAATAAAGAATTTAAGGATGTTCTTTATGATTTTATTACTCCTTGTGATAATCTAATTTTTTTCTGTGCCTTGAACTACCTAGAAGAATTACAAGACTTTATTCGCGACAGATTTGCGATGATTGAAGTAGAACCCCCGTCATATCAACAAAGAATAAAAATATTGAGAGCTTTGTTAATGGCTTCATTGAAAAAATTTGAAGAACCTTTTAATGGAATTTGGCATAAAACTTGGGAAGAGATTTATAATATTTTAAATCAAGAAGCATTGTTAAAAAGGGCTTTGACTAAAACCATGAGTATTCGAGGTGCTAAAAGTAATATTGCGAGTTTGATTAATATATTGCGAGTTGATTTTTTAGTTCCGGAAAAACCACTTACTAACGATGTAATTAACTATGATTGAAATTTCCAACCAAAAGAGGATAATGATGTTGGAGATAAGCGGAGAGGTAGATTACCTTGTCCTCGTGGTGAAGAAAAACAAAAAAACGGAACTTCTGACAAAGCACATAGACCAAGTTGCAAATGTTTTATGAATAATTTAGACAGAGTTCCGGGTTGAAAAGAGAATATGGGAGTTGAAGAATAATTTACATAAAATTAAAATATGTGCCACGCCTTAGAACATACGCCGTTAGAAATAAAATTGGCAGGAAAATTAATTTATAAGACTAATGCTGCTAGATTTGCAGAATTAAAAATTATTAGAAAAGAGAATAGTTTTCATATTGAAGAAAACTAATATTCTCCTAATTTTTTTCTTTCTCTAAATATTTTTCTAAAATATCATGAGTAAAATTAGTGAAAATCAACCAGCAAGAATTGCAAAAATAGTAGAGAAATGAAAAAATTTTGCTAAGGGATTTCAACCTATGAAAGTTGATTTTAAAGATAAAAAAGATGATCCGTTAACTTGTTCGCATAACCATTGTAAATTTTGGAGAAGTAAACATGCGGGAAGAGAAACAAAAATAATTGCTTTCAAGAAAATATCAAAAACTTTTGAGAAAGAGTTAACAAAGTTAGGAATGAGATTAACTTGAAAAAGTTTAGAAGAAGATGATTAATAAATTAATTCTTTTTTCAATTGTTCAACTTTCATTTCTAATACATCTACTTTGGAATTAGATTGAAAATAATTAACTAATCCTCAAATAGTTCTAATCCCCCCTCATACTGCAAAAGCAATTGAAATTCAAAAGACATATTTGAAATAAGGGTTAGTGGCTCGGATTGTTTCCACAAACTCTTTTAAGAAATAGTGTTCTAAACCGTAGTAGAGAGCAAAATTCCCTACTCCAAATAAGCCACCATAAATTTTATTGATGGCTCTTTGTTTATTTCAACGAGCTTCTGTTAATGCTTCTCTAGTTTCAATAAATTCGATTATTTTTAAATTATTTTGATTGTTCATATTTTGATTATTGTTTTCTCTCTTTATTCCTAATTGATTAGCATTAGGTAAATCAACTTGACTTTTGGGTATATCATCTTTATCTTTATGCTTTTTATCTAAGCAATAGCGACAAATCTTTCTTCAACTGTCAGTTTTTCCGCCAAATAAGTCTTTATTATAAGTGATATAACAAAAGCTACAATAGAAATTTTCTTCTTCAATTTCTTTTGGTTTACTTTCAAAAAATAAGGAGGTAATTCATCCAATTAAAAAAGAGACAAACAAACCTACTAATGAAGTTACTCACATTCCAGTTTTGCTTTCATTCTTGGACAATTTAATTACTCTATATAACCAACCAACAAAAAAGAGAATTACTAATACTAGTATGACTCATAATCCATGACCTTTCCCTCCGAGAAACGGATCTAACAATACTCCAACAAAAATAGCGACAATTATATCTATTATCATATTATTTTCTTCGTTTATTATTACTCATCATTAGAGCAATTATTAGTGCAACTATCGCAAATATTCCTACTCCGCCGAGGATGTAAGGGAGATAATTAGTTGGTTTTTCATCCAAATTTCCATATTTATTTTGATAATTTTGTTCAGCTCTTTGTAAAGTATTTCGCTGGATAGTTTGCAAATAATTAACTTGTTGCCTTTGTTGAGGAGAAAGATTTGGATCACTTAATCTTCCTTCCATTTCCCTAGTTAATTCTCGCAAGCGTAAAACTTCTTGCTTCAACCCTTCTTTTTCTCAATCAAAATCAGATTGATTATTATTAGTTACTTCTAATTCAGGCGGTGCTAATTCTACTTTGGTTAATTTTTGAGTTTCCTCTCATTGTAATTCGCGATAAGTGCAATGACATAAAGGAGAACAAAAAGCCTTCTTTATTTCATAATCTAGTAATCAACCATTTTTCATAGCTGGAAATTCTGTTTTATGACATTGAGGACAGGTTTGTTGGTTTTCTCGTTTGAATTTTTCAATACAACCACAATTTAAACCAAATCAACAAGTTTCTTCACGAGTAAAATCAGTGGAATGCTTAACAAATTTTGTTCTTTGAATAGTGTTTGCCCCTTTGCTTTTGACTAAACAAGAAGCACCGCATTTTTCGCAACAATTGCTAGAGTTAGGATTTTTTTCAGGTTTCCTAGGTTCTTTAATACAGCATTTTGAATGATTGATTAGGTTTGATAGATCTCTTTTTATATCTATTCTTCAATTTCCTTCACAATGAATATCACTAACTTTTTGTTTGCAAGTTTTGCACTGTGTTCCTTTATCCCCACTTCCACTTCCTCTAATTACATAGTTTATAAAAGGCTCAAATTTATCCTTTATTCATTTAGTTACACATTTATCATCACAGAACTGTCCATTTTCTTCAACAGTTTTCTGGCATGATAAACATTTTTGCTCTCTCTCTCTCTCTCTTAGTTGTTTAAAAACTTGTTTTTCTTGATCAGATAAAGAACGATTAGCATGATAAAATCCGGTTTGGTCAATCTGACTAATATCTTTATCGTTACCCAAATATTCTTTCAAAGTTTTAAAAGAATTAAAATAAGCCAAAAGTCCTTTTATCGCCATATTCTCTTCATCAGTTAAATTATAATTATTAAATTCCTTTACTAAAGCACAAGTTTGACTATGATTTCTACCATAATCGCAACAACCCCCAATTATTGAATCATTTTTAGTTTCCGTATGTATTTCGCCACAACCGTGGCATCAACATGTATGTTTCATATTATTTCTTATATATATATATATATATATCGTAATCTTACATTGATATATACTAATTATTTTATACAACATTTACAACATACTTGCTTGGTTTTGTAAAACTTTATATATATAACTTAACTATGAATAATAATAAAATTATTAATGATAATAGTTATCAGGTGTTAGCAACAGCAAACAATTCAGCGATAGATATAGCAAAATATTTGCTTTCTCTCGACATTAAAAACGCTTGAGGATTAAGGGAGTATTTTACCCTAAGACTAATATCATTTGGAGAAGGATCCGACAGCAGTCAAACGAGAGAGGGGAATTTTCGCTTAAATAAAATTCTTCACATGTGCCAAATTTTTCATTGTATTGAGTATGGCAAACCCTTGTTTAAAGAAAGAATGGAAGCTTATGAAAATGGAGCTATCGTTTACAAAGTACGTCTAGATTTCATGAAATTATGGAACCTTCCTTCTTCTGAGTTAATTACTGATATTAGCAAAGAAACCAAAAATTTTGTTTGTTTGGTATATAATTACTTTTGTAACAATTATGAAGATGATAATAAAGCACTACGAAACTTTTCTCATCAAGATCCTGCTTGACACAAAGGTCTTGAACAAGAAGGAGGATTGATGCCTCTAAATAAAGAAATGATCACCTATTACAAAAATTTTTTTTACGATGCTTTAGCAGAAATAAAAGAAAGCGAAAATTAAAGCATGGTTAAGAAATTAGTAAATCTTAATGCTGTAGTTCACTTTAAAGGCGATTACATTGATGATAACAAAAAACTAGCAAAAGAAAGAAGACATTTATCAATAGAAAAAAAAGATGATGACTTATTTTTCATGAAGTTAACTAGTGAGAAAAGAAAAGAACTTAATCAAATAAGATTGAAGTTAGAGCCAAATCATGTTGAGTGTTTAAATTTGATTTCTTATCCTGTATTTAATCGAAAAGTCAAAATTTCCCTTACTGAATTAGAAACTACTAACTACCGATACTTTTATGTTTGTTCTTTACATTCTGATGGTTGTCTAAAAACTGAAAAGTTTACTGAGATTTACCAAGCATTTAATAAACTTTGAGAAGATAAATTAACACCAGACAAAAAGATAATTTCGATAAAGGCTAGTGAATTAATACCCACTAATGAAATTCCTTGGTGAGTTACTCATACTAGCAAAGATAGGAAAAAAAGAAAATAAATACTATATTAAACTTAAAATTTTATTAATAATGACCAATCGCAGTGATTACTTTAAAGAATATAATCAAAAGCCTGAGCGAAAGAATTATCTTAGTCAAAAAGCTAAAGAAAGATATCATTTACTTAAAGATAAAGAACCAAAAATAGGAATGGCAAAGTTTTCTTGCCCTAATTGTAAGACTACTTATCTTTTACAGAAAAAGTAAAAAGTAAAAAACCTTTTTCTTGTTTTTCGATTAATTTTTTAATCTATCATCTCTTTGTTGAAAAAGCAATTTTATTAAATCTTTTCAATGGCTTACTGGGTAAAGATTTAGTTTTTCAGAAACAGAATATTTTTTATAGTATTTATCTAGAATTTTGAGGGCTTTTTCGTGATTTTCTTGTGGCAAAATTAAATTTTTTATTTTTTTGTCTCTAATCGCTTTAATTATTTTTTCTTTAACCCCCCCAATTTTGCTTATATTTCCATCATCTTCAATTTGACCAGTTATCGAAAAACTATCCGAAATTTCTATTTCATAATAAGCACTATAAAAAGCTAAAAGTAGAGCACTACCACTGGACTTGCCAGTAGAATTAGTATTTCAAATAATATAAATAAATTTGTCCCAATAATGAATTTCTCCTAATTTAAATAAGTTTCTTATTCCAACTAGTATGACTTTTTTTGCATATTCATTTAGTTCTTCATCTTCTTTAGAAACAAACTTAATAAATTCTAAATTTTCCTCAACTTTTTCTATGCTACTTAAGATTTTTTTTGATTGTTCCAAGGCTACAATTAATTCATCTTTTATTCCTGTTGCTTCATACCAAAAAGCATGTTTTTTTAACACGGTTGTTTCAGTTTCGACCGTTTCTATGGGTTTATTTTTTTTATCTTTAATTTTTTCATTTATTACCGCTAGTTTTTCTATCACCCCTATTCTTTCCTCGCTTTTCAAATTGGGGAGAATTCATTCTTTTATTCCTAATTTATTAATTTGAAAAAATTTACATTTGCCACTATGTTTACAATTGCAGATATAGCCTTTGTTTTTTAATTTTTTGCGAGCGTTTTCTTCCATTTTATTCTTTAGGTATTACCGAAATCTCGTTTAACGCAAAGTCGGAGTCATTATCGGGGTCATCAGGGTCTCATCAATCAGGAGCAGGTCCAGTGTCCGGATCGGTTGGCTTTTCAGGGTCTTTAGTTGGATCAGGATCGGTTGGCTTTTCAGGATCGCCATCAGGATCTGTGCCAAAGTCAGGGTCCGGACCATTATCAATGTCCGGAACATTAACTTCTATTTCACCAGAACCAGTTGGAGAAGGAGTTAAATTAGAATTTGTTGGCAAAGAGTTAGGATCGAAGAGCTTGGTAGGAATTTCTAAAGGCGTAAAGCTGTGTGTTTTAGCACTGTCTGAAGGTGGATTTCCTTCAGATTCTCCAATTGGTCTTATCTCTTCAAATTCTCCTATGAAACGCAAGGCTCACTCAGCACCATCTTGCATTAAAATTATTTGACAATTATTATCCCTAGCTCTAAATTCTCTTTTATCTCCTTCTCCTTCGTTAAATCCGCCCATAAACCAACTATACCATACTCCTCTTAAAAAAGGTATTACTCCACTTCATTTCTCCGAGGCACCAAATCTTCAACTTCCGGGATGATTTGAAAGGCTTCTAGGCAAACATACTTGGTGAGGACAAGAACTTCCGGAATGGGCAGGGGAATCAATTTTCATTTTTGCACTACCTTTTTCAATTAATTTAGGAAATAAATCTTCTCCGTTACTTTCTTGAATACAATAACTTGTCTGCGTAAATCCATCAATTGCTGTTCCATTATTTTTTCAAACTCAACTCATTCCATCTACTCCCGTCTGCTTGTCACGACCAATTGATTCTTTCAAATTTTTAATAATCCTAAGCAAATTGAAGTCCCCGGTTGCATTACCACCTCGGCTTTCAATATTAACAGAACTAGGCAATTTTTTTTGATAGAAATCGCGATGGTTGTTTTCTCACAAAAATATCCCCGATTCTATTTTTGCTCTAAATCAATTAGAGTTCCTTAACATATTTGTGGAAATAACACTACTTTTTAAAAATCCTGGGAAATTTAAGATTTCCCCTCCGAAATTGAGTGAGTTGTAATAATCATAAGTCATCTTGCCTTTTAATTTTCTTTTCTTTTTGTATTGATTCAAAAGGTTTTGATTGAATTCTATTCTTAAAGATAAAGGGTATTTTCCGCTCAAAATATACCGATGCCAAAATTGGTAGAAAGTATATTCAGCCTTAGTATGATCGATACTATATAAATGGGGTTGCAAAAAATTGCTACCTTGTATTCCTGAATTATCTCCTTTAGTTAAGTCTTTGGTTCTAGTTGTTGTTTTAGTTGCAGTTTCCTTGCGTTTAACTTCTCCACCATTAGTTGAACTTTCACTAACGACACTTCGCTCGGTTTGTCGATTATTTTGTCCTTTATCATCATTCAGAGTAGTATCGACCACACATTCAAAGAATTTATTAACAAAAGAATTGCCTCCTATTTTTGCTGAAATGCTTTCAGTAACTCTTGTCAAAATAGTGTTTTGATAACCAAAAAAAGTTAAACATGTCCCTGATGGATTTACGCTTTCTTTAATTCAAAAATTACTGTGAACTAGTCAATAGTTACCCTGTCAAATTTGTTTTTTTCGTCAATATAAAGTTGCTTTAATATGATGCCTCAAGAAATGAAACATTTCTGGTTTATCTAAACCAAGTTCTTCTAATAGTGAATTAATTTCATTACCTACCGGGCTTTGATTTCCTTTAGTATCTTGACCTATTTCCTTTCACTTTGTCTCATTTCCAGCAAAGTTCTTTCGATGCATAATAATATCTCCTAACCTGTCGCTCAAAAGAAAATATACGGTACCTATTCCTGCCGTTATAAGTCCATCTCATAGTGCCTTTACAACATTTTTTTCATCCTCTGGATTTATAGCTGGAGAAAGATTTGTGGGAACAACCATTTCTAAGTCTTCTTCCTTAATTCAATAACCGATTTCTACAAGTGAGTTATTAAGCTTATACAATTTAAGGTTCAATTCATAAGCACTTCCGAAATCATAGAAATTAGTTGCAATATTGTATTGAGGGCAAGAGCAGATTTCTTCTCTTTCTATTAATTTACTCTCGCTATGATGAAGAATTCCATTTGCTCCACTTTTAATTAAGTAATAATAGTCATTGTAAAAAATACTTCTTTCGGCTGTAATTTTTACTTGGTTATAACTTAACTGATCTCAATTTTCTACTTCAAATCACTCCCCATAATAATTAAAGAGATAATTATTTAAAAAAGGAAGATATTTACCTTTTCTTTCATTTATTTTTCTTTCGATAGGAATTCAAGAAAAGGTTAGTTTCTCTGAGTTACGTTCATGAACCTCTATTTCATAAGGATTAGGTTCAGAACCTTTTCCCTCATTATGATTATACCATTCATCCAAAAGCTTATTTAATTCAGCAAGGGGTTCACTTTCAGGATGAATATCATGAAATTTCCTTCAAAATTCATGGTAATATTTAGAAGTGATTAATAATTTTCTAGTAATCGGATCAATTCTTTCTTCGGGATTTCTTAAATAAGGTTGCAAGTTGTCTCTTGTATAAGATAATCGTTGGCAAAGTTCTTTTTCTTCTTCTCTTCAAAGTTTTTCCATCTCATCAATCTCATCTTTACAATTACTAATCTTTCTTTCACCAATTCTAATTTTGTTTAGCAAACATTGTTTTTCATGCTCTGCTAACTCCTTTTTAGGGTGATCTAATTCATATTGGTGAACTTTTAATTCTCTTTCAAATCTATTTAATTCAGATAATTTTTCTATTAAAGCTCGTTTTATTGGTTTGCCTAAAAGATTATGTTCATTAATAAATCAAGTTTGGATATTAGCCAATAATTGGCGAGTTTTATTGTTTTTGGTTTCTAAAAGATTAATTTCTTCTTGCTGTTGGTTGATTTCTAATTGTCAATCTTCAAAAACTCTTTTAGCATAAGTTGAAGCAATAGGTCAGTTCTCATTGTTGGAATCATTCTTAATAAATTCTCCTAAGTCATTATTTTCAAAAAATATTCATCTAATATGTGCTTTCATTGATTTTTAGTAAATTTGTTGGTTCATAATTATTTAACAATTCTTTTGCCTCAGGTTTTGGTTAGAGGGTTGAAAAAATATTCTAGTTTCTTAATATTGCGATTAGGATAGGGTTTTTTGGGAAAGTTTTTAGGTTTATTTTTGAACATAATTAGGGGTTATTTATCGCGATAATATTGGTAAATATGTCTTTTAAACTCTTTTTTGGGTTCTGTTGTACTCGCTCTAGCATTTAATGTAAGAAATCCGGCAAGGGGACTTCAAAAATAAAAATTAATATTATCTGGACCAACTCCGATAACTTTTTCATTATTTATCCATTTATCCCATCAGAATTTTTCTTTGGCTAATTCAACAAACATAAGGGGCAAATGGTATGGTAATATACTTTTAGTTTGAATAGTTTGAATAGTTTGAATAGTTTGAATAGTTTGCTCAAATTCTGCTTTTGTTCCATAAAGAGGTAAACTTTTACCATTAACAATCAAAGCCTTTTCAATTGTTTCAAGTATCTTAACTACCTCCTGAGTTCTTACTAATAATCCAGTAGCGGTTGAATATTTACCCAAAATATCATAAACTACTTGGTTCATTTGCTGAACTTTTAAAAATTCCTCACTCTGTTTTTTTAATCTTTCTTCGCTCCCTTCTCGCTTCATTTTCACCTCGGTTAAGTCTTTAATGGTTTGTTGCTGGCTTTGGTTTTCTCTAGTTAAATTTTCGATAGCTACCTTAATTGTAGAAACAATTGAAAAAGTCGAATATCTATTTATTTTATGTGGAAAATCGGCAGTAGTTTCTGAAAATGGCGGCACTGCCCCTTCAATTCCCAAAGAAACAAGTTCAGCAAAAAGAGATTGGTTTTTTTCATTTTTTTCAGATGATTTTAAAGATTTTATAGTTAAAATAAAACAAATTTCACGAAGAATTCCAAAAGCTCTTATCTCTTTTTTATTCCATGCCATTTTTTCCGTTTCGGTTAATTCTTTAATGGATTTTTTTTGTTCACCCACCTTTTTTCTTAGTTGTTTATTAACTTCGGTTTTTATATCTAATTGTTCTTTAAACTCTGATACTTTTTCTTTTAATTCCTTAATTTCTTTATCCCGAATGGCTTTGCTGTTTTTTTTCTCTTTTTCTAACTCTTTAATTCTCTGACCTAGTTCTTTTTTTTGCTGATCCAGTTGTTCAATATCCGCTTGTAAATGCTGAGACTTTTCTTCACTAATTCCTTTTTCTTTTTGTTCTTTTTGCAGTTTGGTCTTTAAATGGTCAACAAAATTATGCTGTTTAGAAAATATCTTAGCAGTGCCTTGAAATAATTCATGGAGTTGAGCGATCCGATCATCTTTTTGGGTGATTTCTTGATTTAGTTGCTCAATTTGTTCTTTGGCATCTTGTTGAACTTGCTGTCAAGCGGTTTTTCAGTCATCTTTTTCTTGAAAAATGGTTTCAATATTAGTGCTTAGTTGGGAAAGACTATTGACTTTGAATTTTTTTAAAAAAGAGTTAATTTTTTCAGTCAGTTCATCCTTTTCCTCAGTTAAAGTCTCAAACTCTAACTCTTTTTGAGTCGGAGCAAGCAAAATAGCTAAATTTCGCTGATAATCTTTAGTTCTATCTGGTCAAAGAGGAGGTTCTTTAAGCGGTTTAGATGGTTTATTATTTTCATCCTTAATTACAGTTCCTTGACCATGCATTCAACATTTAGGCATTATGATTATATTTATTTCGCCAGTATTATTTTAATAATTCTCTGTTTTTAACTTCTAAAATTTCGATCTGATTAAGCAAATTATCATTAGTTAGACCTATTTTGTTTAAATCTTTTATGGTTGAATAAGAGTTTGCTAATTTATTATTTAACTCTTTAATCAGTTTTTGTTTGTCAGTTTCAACCAAATCAGAATGATTAACTATTTTTCAAGCCTTGACATCAAAAGCAAAAGGCTTAATTTGTTTTTCAAACCGAATACCTTTGCAATTCAAATTAGTAATAGCGGTTGGTAAATTATCTCAATCAGTAATTTTAGTATTATTAGCAATATTCAGAGTTTTTAATGGTAAGTCTTTTAAAGATTTTAGTGAACCAATTCAATGAACATATTTTTTGGGAATATTTAATTCTTCCAAAGCGGTTAAATTAGTGAAAATGTCTAAATCCAATTCTGCTGGACTATTAGTTAGAGTTAATTTTTTTAGTTTAGTATTCGCACTCAAATCTAAACCAGTGATAAAGTTAGAACTAAAATAACGGTCAAGTCCGGGAGAACTTAATTCTATTTTTAATTCCTCTAAACCAGTGAAATCTTTTAAATCTAATTTTCCTCTTAGTCCATGTTTAGATAAATCTAACTTAGCAATTGCACCTTTATCTTTTGGATATTTTTTATCTAATATTTCAGTTGGCGAAGTATAAGTCAAAAGTTCTATATTAGGACGACATTGAATTTTAATTCCTTTTGGTTCAGTTTGTTTTAAAATATTGGCTAAATTAATTTCTCACTGACTTATTATTTTGACTTCTTTGGTATAAAATATTCTTTCCAATTGGGGGAATTCTTCAACTTTCAAATTTAATTCTCCTTCTAAATCTTTATCAAATAAATGTAATTCAATTAAGTTTTTTCTTTTCGTTTTGGGATAATTAGTATCCAGTCATGTTTTTATTTCTGTCATATCAATTTATATTAATTATTGGTTATATTTTTGTGTTCTTGTTCTTTTTCATCACTTAAAAAAGCTTGATTAGATTGTTGAAGTTGTTGAAAAGGTTGTTGGACTAACAATTGGGTAGTTTTATTTTCAATTAGTAAAGTAGGCAAACTACCAAATTGAAAGGTATATTTACCTCCTCCTCAGGGTTTTTCTTGAAATTCTAAAATACCTTGTACTAAACTTTCTTGGGCTATCGCTTCTCAAGCATCAAAGTGAGATTGGCCACTGGTGACTTCCGGATTATTTTGCCTTTCTTCTTTAGAAAAAGGATTATGCCGAATTCCTAATTTAAGAAAGAAGCGACTTTCCACTTTTTCGTAATCTTTTCATAATTGTTGCCGTTCAACATTGCCACCCTGCGGATTAAAGTATTCTCATTTCTTGATTTGATTAGTGCCTTTGCCGGGAGAAATTACACCAATATAACCATCGTGATAAGATTGCATAGGTTTTTTTCAGCCTTCTTTGCCTGGATCTCTCTCAAATTCTACGGTTATTCTTTTTTTACTTTTATCTTGGTCTCAACCGATTAATTCCCGAGTATTCCACATTTCTAAAATATCATGTTTAAATCTAGATAAGTTAAAAGGATCACCATCTCTTCAACAAAAAATAACATAAGTTCCTTCACGAGGAGTAAACTCTTCACTTTTTTGATCTCCAAAATACAAAAATTTTAATTTAGATCAACCAGTTTGGGTTTTAAACCCTTCAACAACTTGTGCTCGCAAAAGATACTTTCCATAATTAACAACCGCAACTTTGCCATAATTTATCGCATCTCTAACAATATCAAATCAAGAAGTCAATAACTTCCCTTCTCCTCTTAATTTACAAGCCAAACCAAAATATTGGTTTTTAACTATCTCCTTTAAATCATTTTCAAAACTGGCAAAGCAGTCTAAATCTTCGCTTGCTTCTTCTACCATACTTATAATATTATTTATAATATTTCTTCCTCTTTTTCCTCAATAGTTAAAGGAGCTTCAAAATCTTTGACTTTAAGGCATTCACTAAGTAAATAAAGAGAACCATCAAAATCTCGTTCTTCATTATATTCTTTTCCTCCATTTCACCTTTCAAAAAGTTTTTCATAGTCTAAAGTAGTGCGAGTTTCTTTAATTCAATCTAATATTTGCCGAGCTTGCATTTCTTTCTCCTTTTGTCAAAAACTTAAACCTAATTCTGAGTTTTTTTCCGTAATACTGCCCTTATCATCTAAGTAATTTTCTCAGGTTTTTTCAGTTTCGATTAATAAATCAACGATGAATTCCCGAGCTTGCTTAATAGTAAGAACTGGTTTCATTAAAGCATATTTTTTAGTTCGGGTTGCTTTCAAATAATTATTAATAGCAAACCATAGTTGGTGGTTTTTTTCTCTCAAATTAGTAACTATCGCTTGCTCTTTTTGGAATGCTTCACTATCTGATTTACTCTGCGGTAAAGTTTTGCGTTGAGCAAAATCATCTCAAAATTCATCTTCGGTGATAGTAATATCGGGTCTTTTTTGTAATTCTTCTAACTCTTGCTTAAATTCTTCCGGTTCTTGATCACCAAAAATTTGGGTTCATTCTTGAACCTTATTTTCCATTTCCGATAACTTTTGCTTAATTTGTTCAGAACTTTGTTGGTTAAATTCCAATTGCCACTTTTTTAATTCACCATCAGCCAAATTATACTTATTCTCTAACTCTTGTTTTTCTTCTGCTGACTTTTGTTTAAACTCGCTAAATTCAGTTTCTAAATCCTTAATTTGTTCTTGAATTTGCAATGGTTTTTTTTCATTAAAAGTATCAGTTCAACCTTTTAATTCTTCTTTAATTTCTTCGTGATCAACTAATTTTCTCTCTAATTCTTTTAAGCGGGCTAATTTGATTTCTCAATCTTTGGGTAAATCCTTAACTTTCTTTTCTTCGTAAGCAATTAACTTTTCTTTTTCTTCCGCGTGCAAAACTTCTTCTACTGCGTCATCTTTTCAGTCCTTAAAACTGCCTAATTTTTCTTCAATTCTCTCTTTCGGTAAATTAGCTTCTACTACTTCTTTGAAATATTGTCGGTTAATACCAGTTTCTTTAATGTTTTTGTTGTTCATAATATTCTGAATTACTTGCTAGTAAACTTTTAGTAATTTGTTTATTTTCCTTTTCCCTTAAATAATTTCTAACTCTTAATAATTGCATTAATCGGTCTAAACTACCATCAAAATCATATTCTGCATTATAATCTTCGCCCTGATTCCATTGATGAATTAATTTTTGGTAATCTCCACTAGTTCGAGCTTCTATTATTCAAATTAAAATTTGCTTAATTTTTCTTTTGTTCTCAGGGACTTGAAAACTGGGTAAAGCTTGGTCAGGATTAGCAAAGTATTCTCGTCATTTTTTTTCGATCTTAACTAATAAGCGACAAATAGCTTCTTCTGATTGATTACTAGTTTGAATGGCTTCGGTAATTACTAAACCTTTTTCTTCCGCTCCTTCTTTCACTACCTTAACAATTTCCATTAACCCTTTATTTTCTTCCTTAAGTTCTTCAAAATTTTGATTTAGATTAACCAAAGTATTAATAATACTAATATTCTTTAGTTCGGTTCAATTCAAATTTTTAATTTCGCCCAAATAAGTATTATCAGGAAGGATTAACTTTTTTAATTGTTGACAATTAGTTAAATCTAAAGTAGTTAATTCATTTTGCCCGGCAATAATTTCTTCCAAATTAGGAGTATTTAATTCTAATTTAGTTAATTGATTATTGCGCAGATTAATTATTTTCAAATTAGGACAATTATTAATTGATAAAGCAGTTAATTGGTGATTAGCTAAATTAATCTCTGTTAAATCAGGATAATCTTGCAGAACTAATTCTCCCATTAGTTTTTCGGGGGAACTAAGTTTGGTGATAGTTTGGTCAGTTCAATTTTGTTCTAAATATTCTTGGGCGTTAATTTCAGTCATGGTTATTTTATTTGGCTAATTTTGCTTTTTGCGTGATTAAATTCTGCTTCATCCACTACATCTTGGACATAACTTTCCCAAGCTTGATTTTGTTTAGTAATTCGGTCAAAGTTCTCGGTAGTAGGTAATTGCTCTTTCTCCTTTTTTAGTTCTTCATTTTGTAACTGTAAAGGAACCGTAGTAATTAATTCATTAATTTTCTCTTTTAAAGGAGAATTAGGGTGATAATTGATTTGCAGGGTGTAGTGCTGCGAAAAGAGATCAGCATCGACACCACACCCAATTAAAATTTTAAAGGTTAATTCTTTAACTTTTTCTTCATCCGGATTATTTTCTAGTTCCTGATTAGTTAAAGTTAAAATCTCCTGAGTAATGGTTTGTCAAGCTGGATCAAGGAATTTTTTATCCAGTTTAGTTTGCTTTTCTTGGAGTTCAGGATTATTTTCTAAACTAGGATAATAAATGCTTCATAATTCACTGATCTCTAATTGCTCAGTCGGAAAAGTAGCGGGGTTTAATAAGCAGGCAAATTCTTTTTGATAGTTTTCACTTAGATTATCCTTTACTCATCATTGTTGTGCAGTAAAATGCTTTCAAAACTCGGGAGTTTTAGCAGTTTTGTCCTCCCCGATGTCCATCAGGGCTAATTCTTGGGCTAAATTTCAGAAAACTAAACTAGGGCAGAAGTTTCCTGATTTATCATTTTGTTCTAAGGGTAAAAAAATACTACCCTCTGCTTGCTCTTTAAAATTAACCTTAGCTCCTTTTAACTCGGCTAAGTGCTGAATTTCTTGAACTACTCTTTTTTTGCTGAATTCTTGACTAATTCCTAAGTCTTCTCAAAGTTTTTTATCTTCTTCGCTTTCGGGTTGAGCTTCTAATCAGTCTAGTTCTTTTAAATGAACTAAACCATCTACTTCTAGTTTGGTTAAGGGAGTAGTTAAGAATTGCGGGTCAATTTTTACTCTTTCTAAAGCTTTAAATTCACGGAGGTCTAATGCTCCTCCCGTCAAAAGCTCAGTTACTCCTTGACTTTCTCGTTCTTGCTGGATTTGGGCGAGGTCTAGTTCTTTTAATTGTTCTTTATTTGCTTGATTATTTAAATATTCTTGTAAGGTGTTCATAATTAATTAGGTTTCTGGTGGTCGTTGGTTATTTGTTTTCTTTCTCTCTGATGCTCTTAACTCATTTAGGAACAACAAATCAAAAAAACCAGCAATGGAAAATAAAGAAGAGAATAAACATGGCTCAAATAGTTATTCACAAATTAGTGATCGTCTTTAATTTGGCATCATAAGAAATTTGGATTTGCTCTATATAGCTCTCTCTTAACTGGCGATATTGATTAGTAATCGGAACTAGTTTTTCACAAACATTAACAAAATCATTCGACTTTTCGATCACTAATTTAGTAGCTTGGTATTTTCCCACATCATCTAAGACCGGAGATTTTTGGATTCGCATTATTTCTTCATTGAATTTCTTTTGAATTTGGTCTTTTTCGGCTTGACAAGCAAATAACTTTTGGCGAATATTTTTTAATTTCTCCTCATTTTTGACTAGTTCTTGTTGGTGGGATTTTTTGAGGTTAACTACCCCTTCCCGAATTAATTCAACTTCTTTTTTTCAATTGGCAGCTTGGGCAATTACTTTGCTAAGTTCTTCTTCATAATTAACCATTAGGACGGACTAAAAAAATAGTGCAATTATTTCGTGGTGGGAACCTCGATCAATGCTCTAATGTCCGAAAACGATTCATTGATTTCCGCATCATCTTTTCTAAACTGCTCTAACATCTTTGCAATTCTTGCATCAGCTTGCTTTTCCTCCTCCAACTCTTCATCTTGGACTTTTTTGGCGGTTCGGAATTGATCTAATTCCGCCATTAGTTCTTGAAACTTGTCCAGGGTAATGTCCGGGCGGGCATCCCGTTCATTTCTAACATTTTTGAGGTCAATTGCTAACCGCCCTTTAGTTTGGATGGCTAGTTCTTTAGCTTCGGTTTCGGTAGTTAACTTTTCCTTGATTTCCGTTAATTCTGCATTAACTCCATCTAGTTTTTGTTTAGTCTTGGTAAATTCAATTTTGGTATTCGCCAAATTGGTTTTATAGACCGCAACTTTTTCGATTAGTTCGATAATTTCCTTTTCTCTTTTTCCTTTTAACATATTATTTGATTTGATTATTTGTATTTACTTCAATTACCGATAAATATAACTGTTCGGTCTCTTCTCCTAATTGGTCAACTTCGGCACGGGCTTTAAGCAATAATTTGGCAAACTCATCAGTTCCTTGTGCTTCTTCCGCTTTTGCTTGCTTCAACTTTTCGATTTCTAAATCTTTTTCTACTACTAACTTATTAATATCTACTAAATCGTGGTTTAGTTTATTGTAATCGGCTTGTTTTTCGTTTAAGATTTGCTTGGCTAATTTAGTTCGTTCTTCGGTTTTATGATGACTTTGGGCTAACTGATATTTAAGTTCCAAGACTTCTTCCGCCAGTTTTTGTTGCTGGTTTTGCTGAGTAAGAGTTTTTTGGTTGGCGGCTTGGAGCAAAAGTTCATATTCAGTGCATTTCTTTTCCCAAATTAGTTCTTTTTGATTAAAGGCTTGCAACAGTCTTTCTTGTTCCACTTTTTCATCAAATAAAACTTTTCAATTTTTTTCTAATTGAGCTTGATTTGCTTTTAGTTGTTGGTTTTCTGCTGATAAATTTAGTTGATCATCCTCGGCTTCTCAATTGTCAACTAAAGATAATAATTCTTCTACTGCTACTTCACTATTATTTTCGTGAAGGGGTAAAGGAGAATTAGTCCGCGAAGGGATTTCCGGATTAGGTTCCTCATTTTTTAAAGCAGAACCTACTAAACCCTTGCTTAACTCTAAAAAAAGACTGGGCGATTTGGTGGGTTCGGGTAAATATAAAGAACTTTGTCGGGAGTGAGTGCGACTACTGGGTAAACTACGCAGTTTAATAGGAATATCAGCGGTAAGTTGAAAAGTCCGCAAGTTATTAATTTGCTGGTTAAACTTAACTTCCCGTTGAACTTTTTCTTTTTCGTATTTTTCCTCTTGCTCGCGAACTAGTCGTTGTCATTCGGCTTGTTCAGTTTGCGAAAGTTTTTTATATTGGGTTAGTTCGCCCACTTTGGCTAATAAATCATTTTTAGTTTGGGTGAAATTAACTTTTAATCAGTAGTTTTCATCAGACTTTTGCCCTAATTGCTGGTTTAATTGGCGAGTAGTTTGCTGTTCCTGAGTTAAAAGTTGGACTAACTGATTATTTTTTTCACTTAATTGGTAAAAATCATCATTAGTTTCTTTAAGTTCACTCGCTAAAATTTGTGCTTCCTTAGTTTGCTGGTTTAATTCTAACTGTAATTGACTATTTTTTTTCTTTAAAGACTTAATTTGAACTTGGTCAGTGTTTTGCTGTTCAAGTTGTTGCTGATTTTGTTTTTCTAGTTGAGCAATGGTTCGCGAAGCCGAAGTTAACTGTTTACTTAGTCCGGAAATTTGTTGTTGGAGATTTGATAATTCCGTTTCATGGTTTTCAACCTGAACTTCCTCTTGGGATAGCACTTCGAAAATATTGTCTAGTTCGGGAGCATTGAAAGCAAAAGAATTAGTGATGGGAGAATTAGGCAACGAAGCAAAACGCCTACTTCTTGGAGAAGGTCGTTGATAATAAGTCGCTAATGAACCTGAACTTGAGGAAACTAATTTTTCTTCTTTTAATTCACCTTCCGGTAAAGATGAACGACGCGGGATTCGGCGTTGTAAACGCTGATAAATACCTTGGGTTTGCGTTTGATAATTAACTAGCACTTGCGATTGTTGCTTATTTTCTTCTGCTTGTTTTTGAATCGCCGTGAGTAGGAAATTAACCAAACTGGTAATCGGAGTTGAATCAACTTGATAATTAGTCAGTAATTGAGTAATTTCTGCCTCAGTCAAGGTTAAATTAGCATTTTGTTGAGTTAATTCAACTAATTGCTTTAAGATTTGGGGGTTAGTCATGTTGCGAGGATAAAATGGTGCAACTTGTTTAACCTATATTATTATTTTATATATTATATTAATTAAAAAAGAAATTAAATAAAGAAAAAAAATATTAAATAAAAAGATGGGAGGACTAACCAAGTTGCAAAAGGATTGATCCTCCCATCTTAAATAAATAAATTCGGTTAAACTACTCGGTGGTTATCTCGCGAACTTCACTGCGATCACCATTTAAACAATCCGTAATTAAAACCTTTACTTGATTAGGAAATAGGGTGCTATCTTTAACTTTTCTTTCGCGAAAGGGGCAAAAATATTTGGCGTAAGTAAAACAACCCGCTAAGGTTTTGCCATTCACCATAACTGGTTCTTTGGAACTGCGGGAGTCTCAATATTCGTTTTGTTTTTGGCATTTAGCACAAGTGGTAAACATAAATTTATTTTTCCTTTTTATCCTGATTCAATAAATTGCCCACTTTATCTTTAACTAAATTAGTTCCGTGATGTTTTAAAGTAGCTAATAAATCGACTGGTTCTTTTTTTTCGATTTCGGCTACTCCAATTTCAATGCCCTTAATCCGAGCTAAATGTTTGATTTCCTCTTTAATTGCCGCTTCTTCAATTTTTAGTTTAGTAAGGATCGCTTCCTGTTGTACCTTTACTTTTTCTTGGCGAGCTTTATTGCGAATTAAACGAACTTGGGGGTCATCCTTTGATCTTTCGGCAAAAGATTTTCATAAAAGTAAGAAATTAGGAACCGCAATCCCCGTAGCTAAAGCAATCTCTTTAATGGTTTTACCTAAATTCATTGTTACAATTTACCTAATAATGGACTATCGGGGAATACTTCTGCAACTTTATCTTTAAAAGTTTCTTTTTCTTCATCGGTTGCTTTTTCGTAAAGTCTTATGATTAGGTTTTCAGTTTGCTCCATTAATCATTTGGCTAAATCTACCGAAACTTCTAAGAATATTTTTTTCAGGGCTTGACCGATTACATTAATCGCTTGTTCCTTTAATCAATTAAGCACTACCCCATCAAAAAAACCTTCCGCCATCATTTCCCCTTGGCTTTTCTTTTCGTATTCGGGTTTCAAAACATTTTCCACATATTCTTCAGCTTGGTGTTCTTGGAATTTGATTTTGTCTTGTTCAGTTTCGTGTTCTTTGGGTGGATAAAACTTTCCATCTTCATCACTGTATAAATGCTTTTTCAAGGTTTCTTGGTTTTTTAAAACTACTTTTAACAAGTGTTCTAAATTGTTTATTTTTTGTTCAATAGTTTGGTTTTGATTCATACTTTTATTTGGTTTGGTTTGGTTATATTGTATTAGGTTCATTCTCTTCAACCTCTTTCTTTTCTAAATTATCTTTAACAGTTTTCAATTTATCTTCGAACTTTTCGGCTTTTTGCTTGGTTTTGTTTAGTCAAAATTTAACGGTAGCTAATAATCCGAGTAAAGCCGTGATAACTCCTCCCCCGATTTTAGCGGGTAAGGGGATTCGCTCCCAAAAATTAGGTTCTTGTTGTTTTTGTGGACATTCTTGATAAAAAATCTTTTCGTGGTTTTCGCCATCTAATACGCCTCAGACTTTTAAAATCTCGTCATCGTGTTCTTTACAACGAAAGATTTGGGTTTGACTATCATCGCCTAAATCTTTGCGACAAACATTACAGTTAAAAGTTAGGTTGCCATCGCCTAAATCTACTTCGTTAATCTCGGTTTTAGTTTTTCATTTATCGCACTGAAAACAGTAGCGATAGTGGTTATTTTCGTCGTTCATATTTATTTTCTAATTCGTTAATTTTTGCTTCTAAATGTTTAATTCGTTGTTCATTAAGCTGTTGCCTTAGTTCGTTTTGTTGGTCATTTTTCTCCAAAGTAATGCTTTTTTTATCAAATCTAGCTTTATAATTCCTTAACATAGCAGTTAATCCTAAAAATCCTATTGTTAAGGCGATTATTGCAGTCATACATTCTGTTCCCATATTATTCTCGATCGTAAATAACCTCAGTTAATTGCTTTAAAAAAGCATCAGCATTGTCTTCGGACTTTTTCAATTTTACCAATTCATCATAACTTTTTCGAAAAGATTTCAGTAAGTTATAATAACCGTCCATAGTATCTTCCTCTGTGGCTTGTTCAGATATTTTCTTTAAATTCTCTGAAAAAACCAGATCTTTATCTTCTTGCAAAAAGCTCTTAGTGTTATTTCTAATCCGCTTTCATTTCTTTTCGGGGGCTTCAATTCCATTCAATATCTCATTTAGTTCAATACTATAAGCAGTAGCTTCACTATTCCCTTTGCGATTTACTAAATGTTTAAACAATCCCCTGGCCAACTTTTGCTCTAATTCCTTAAAAGCTTCTAATGTATCCCGTTTGGTAGTTTCTTCAATTTCTTGACGAAAATCAGGCAAGTCAGCAATTTCCTCTAAATGGGCTTTGGCTCATTTAATCCGCTTTTTTTGCTCTTTTTCGCTAACGGTATGGTCTTGATTTTCCGCCGCACAATCTCGACAAACTAATTTAGTTTCTTTTATTTCAAAATTAACTCAATTATTCTCGGTTGTTTCGGTAAATAATTGAAACATTTTCTGATCAGGAGAAACTGGATTGCTACAATTTTGGCAATAAGTTAGTTCCTTGATTTCTTGTAATTCAGTTCCTAATTTTATTCTTTGTTGGTGATTCATATTCTTATGCTTGAGCTGGAATTGGAGTATTCATTAATAAAGTTCATACCTCTTCCCCTTCATCGTTTTTCAACCTCTTATAATCAACATTAGCATCAGTCAATTTATATAATCCCGCTAACTTTCTAATGGTGTTAGGGTTTTTGCTGCATTTTTTACCCCCATCAAAATCTTTACTTCCCAATTCGTCTTTTTTGGTTTTTACCAGTCCATTTAGAACTTTTCGAGTTTCGCGAACTATTTCTTCTTTACCCTTATCTGATCCTAATTTTTCTCCCAATACCACTCCAATCATCTTTTCTTGTTTTTTCATATCTAATCCTTGCGGGAAAGAGCCATCTTGAATAATAAAGTTAGCAATCATTTCTTTTAAAGTCTTTAAAGCTACTTCGGGTTTCATAGGCACTTTTTCATCCCGGCCTAAATATCGACCTCATAACTCATCATCAGGCTTGACTGAACTATATCATGGAACCGCTTTAGCTTCATTTTCGTCCTCTTTAGTATCTTGTCTTCATTCCAACTTATCTAACTTAACTTTACCTTTGATTTGTTTTTCCGAAACCTTCAACCCCATTAATATTTCCTCAGGGGCTTTACCGAAAGTTTTTGAAGAGGGATAAGCCAAAGCACCTCGTAAAATATCAATGTCGTAAATTTGTTTGTAATCTTTTTCATTAATTTGTTTGGTGTTGCCATCAAAACAAGCTTTGACCATGGCCGCTGAAACATTGTCTGACAAATCCATTTCCATGCTCTCTTTAGTTAAAGTAATAGCTAACCCGGGTTTAACCCTGGCACACCTTCCCATTTGCTGAACTAAACTAGAAATCGGAGTAAATCCTACCACGGGATCTGAATAAGAAAAATAATTACCTAAATTCTTGGTTTCAGTAATTCCCGAGCAAATTACGGTGTCAACATCCGGAGTATAACCCATTTCTCTTCGCCCATCTACTATTCCTAATGAGCCATAAGGTTGGCCATAAGAAACATCTTCACAGTTTTCATCATATTGTTCTCCGTAAATAGTGTATTTAGTATTAATTCCTAAAGCATCCAATTGCTCCGGATTTAATTGTAAACTTTTGCTGAAATATCAAGTTTTACCCGCTCTAATTCTTTCTTCTAAATTAACTTCAATAAAAATAGGTAAGCCTTTTTCGGTTTTGAACTTAATGGAACCAATCTTTGCCCCTCGCATTTCTTCGATTATTTCCGCTTGCTCAGCATTGTCAATCTTCATTAAACCAGCCGGCATTTTAGGATTCAATTTACCACTGAACATCCTAGTCATGTGATAAGTAGAAGTAGCTGAGAAGGGAGTTTTAGGAAAGGTAGCTGACATTCTTAAACATTTATAACCCGCTTTAATCATTTCGAATTGTAAGGCTTGATAGCCAGGATTATTGAAGTGAGCTTCATCGAAAACTACGATAGTATCTTCTTTAGGAATTAATTTTTCTTTAACTTTTTGTTTTTCGTTATTATCGCTTCAACTATTAACTCCGCCACTTTCTTCGAATAAATTGCGAGCTACCGTTCCTAATAAATTACCGAAAAACATTACCGAAAGGCCTTTTTGCCCTTCTTCTTTGCTTCCGAATTGTCCAGTATTAGCATCTTTTCAATAAGCTAAATCATTTTTGGCTACTGGATAAGCACCATGGCTAATATAAATTTCTTGCTTTTCTTTGTCGGCTTTGCCTTTGGCAATTTCTTCATCTGTCGCTTTAGTAAAGGTTCCTTGGCGACAGAATTCCATTGAAGTTTGGCTTTTTTCTTTTCCGCAATAAACACAACCTCATTTTTGTAATCAAGAAGTGTGATGTTTGAAAGTGCTCTCCATTAATCCAACAGTAGGACAAACTAGAATAATATGTCTTTTTCCTCCGCTCACCAAACAATTAATTAGCTTGGTGGTTTTTCCGACTCCAGTTCCAATCGCTAAATGTCCGGCCATTCCTTTATTTCCGCCAATCACCTCTTTTTCAACCATAACAGTCGTTTTTTTTCCTTTTCAATCTTTTTCAATCTTGGGAACTTTATCAATTCCCATCCGGCAAAAACTATTTTCTTGATCTAGATCGGTAGGATCGAAAGCACGATTATTACCATCCCGAGCTTTATCGTAAAAGAAACTTAAGAGGAAAGCTCCTTTTTGATCTCGGTGCAAGTCTTCCTCTGGCTCGGTAAACTTTTTCGGAATTACATAGCCTTTTTTTTCTTCTAGCCAGCCAGATTTAGTTAAATCTTCATGCCCTACTCCATCTTGAAGAAGTTGAAGATCTTGCACATCTTTATCAGCCGCAATCAACTTATTCAACATGTCGATGGTAATTGGCTCATAATTAGGAACTTCTCATTTGTTTTCTAAATTCTTTTCTAATCTTTTAAGAGTAGTTTCTTCTATACCTCCATCTTTAGGGTCAGTTAAGTAATAAAAGAGCTTTTCGCGTTGTTTTTGCTCGGCTTCTTTAATTTCTTGGGCTTTGTTAGGGGGAAGTAGATCGGTTTTTAGTTCGGCGAATTGTTTATCAATATTGGCTTGGTTAGCATCTAAATCCCGTAAATATCGGTAAGCATTGATTTGCTTAACTAGTTCTTTAACTTTAAGAATTTCATTGTCAATATCGACTTTTTTAACCTTTAAAACCGCAATATTTTCAATTCCCTCATATTTAGTCTTTGTTTCGGTAATTTCTCTAGGAGTGATCCACCCATTATCAAAAGCAAGGCGTTGGTCTTTTCCAGTATTTGGTAAACCAGTCGGGGAAGTTCTCCATAGTTCAATTTCATTATCTTTTAAGGAACTAGGAGAATTACCTTGAAAATATTGCTTAAATAAGGATTTTATCTTACTATTACGTAGATTTCTTAATTCTTCATAGTTAATGGTATCAGGGACTTGTTTTTCGTTGTAAGTTCCTTTAATTTCCTCATCAGTGGGAAAATTATTCAAATCAGTTTCTAAGTCTATTTTTTGAATGATAAAATCATGAGCATTATCGACTTCTTCCGCAATATGTTTTAACGGATTGATGTTTTTGGTAGACTTTTCGTATTCTTTACTTTTGACAATAGTTTTAGTAGTGTAAGTTGCGATTATTTTGTCTTTATTAATTAAGCTTTCAGGGCTGTTATTTCAACCATTTTGGTAAATCTTTTCGGCTATTCCGATGCTTAATTCGCTATTTCTTCAATTGTTTTCTCAATCCTTACTAATCCGACTGTCTCCTTCTCGGTCGCGAAAAAACTTATCTCACGCTAATTTTTTCCTTTGGATTGGAATATCCTTTAAAATAGTTTGAATTATGTCCGGAGTATGTCCTTCTTTTTCTATTCTTCGCTTTTCTGTATCATTAAAGTCTTCGCCAAGGATTTGTTGTCCTTTACTTTTGGCATCTTCGTAAAGGTCTTCGGCTCCTTCGACATTAGAACCAAATTTGTCTCGTCAAATAGTTTCTTTATCGCTAGGGATTAAGTGCTTTTTGAAAAACTTTAATCAGCCTTGAGTAGCTTGAATTTCATCTTGATATTTAGCTTGTTGTAAAGCGATTAGTCGGTCATCTTTAACCTTTCCTTCGCGACCTTTAGGAATTCCTTCTCCACCTTCTTTGGGAAAAAACTTGTCGGGGCCGAAAATATCATGAATAACTTCTAATAATGGACCTTCATTTGCCAAACCTTTTTTAACAATATTGATGGTTTCTGCTTCACTTTGATAAACTCCTTCTTGAAATTTCTCCGAACCGCCTAATTTTTCTTCAATTAATTGCGAAGTTAAGGTTTTAGCTTCCCCATTAGTTAAAGATTGCTTCAGATTTTGTTGGTCTTGAGTTTTATTTCAGCCACCAGTATATTCACCATTAGTAAAGTTCTCCGGTTTAAAGACTTTTTGGAGGTTGGCCGTGTCTTGTTGTTCGTTTCACCCTCCTTGAAATTTACCATTTTTAAAGTTTTCTTTACCGAAAAATTCCTGAACTGTTTCTAATACTACTTCTTTGCCCCCTTTATATTTACCATCTTGAAAGTTTTTAGAACCAAAAATACCTTCTAAAAGGGTCAAAAGTTGATTTTTGTCTACTCCCCTAGGTAAATCTTGAAGTAATTTAGTAGTTTCAGTTTTAATTGTAGTTAGGATACTACTTCTTCGCTTGGCAATTAAGATTTTTTGGAAGTTATCTAATTGAAATTTAAGAGCTTGAGGAGTAATATAATTCATAGTCTGATATTTTCACAGACTGATTTTACTTGTATAATATATTTTAAACTAACCAGCTAGGAGGAATCAGTCTGTGGCCAAAACCTTACCTAGCTGGTTAGTTAACAGACTGATTTTTTGTTTTAAATTTAACTTTAACAATCATGAAAAAAATTAAACAGGACAAGATTGTTGGCGAGAGTTTTAATTTAAGAAGCCAACAATTTTTTAATCTTCATTATATTTCTTGCTTTGTTTCTGTTGCTTTTTCTGTCATAATTACAATTCTTTAAATATTTTTCTAGTTTAGTATTTGCTAACACAATTGCTTCTTTCTCTTGTTTCTTGGTTTTTACCTCTCTAAATATAAAAGTGTAAATCACTTTGGGACATTTATGTTTATTTTTTCGTTTAATTTTTCAGGTGATAAGGAGTATATTTTGTATTCTAGTTTTGGTTCAATTAATATTAGGCTACTCATAATCTAAAGTAAAGTATCGATAATATCTATTGTATTGTTTCAAATATTCATTTCTCATTTTTTCTGCTACTGAATTTGGATGCTTCTTACAAATCATTAATGCCAACTTTAATAATTCTCTTTGTTTCTCTCGTTTTTCTCTTGTAAAAGCAGTATTTTTCTTTGTCTGAATTCTCCTAAGGTGTGCTTTTCATTCTAAATTGCTGAGGCTTTTATCTTTACAATCTAAACAAGAATGCCTCCGTGTTCCAAATTGTCCTCCAGCTTTTCTTTTAAATCCTTTCAGTATTTTTAGCTTTCTCATAGCCTTGTTTATCGTTTCACTGATATTTAATAATCTGCTTTGCCATTATTCTCTTGCTTATTTCACTTCTTTTATTTCAACTTCGCAAGTATGTTTTTTTCCAGTTGTCTCTTGGACTTCTTTATTTTTGTTCGTTATCTTTCTTCATTTTTTCCACTTGTCGTCGTTGAACTTCTTGTAAATTGTCTAGCGGATGCGAGTTTTTGATATTCTCGCCTAATTCTTTCCAATTAACTTTTGCTTCTTGCTCTTTTGCTTCATCGCAGTCAGTATGGTAAGCATTGCGTAATCAAATAGTAAGATTATAGCCGTAGCCTTTTATTTTGTTATCTTCTAAATTAACATCATTAGAAGTATCAAACTCAACATCTCAATTATTATCATCCAAAATGTCTTTATCTGTAAATTGTTTACCACATTGCGAGCATTCCCGCCTAATTAATGCTTGTCCTATATTTGTTTCCTTATAATTATTGGTTGCTCCCACGATTATTCTTCATCTTTAAGTGTTTTGTTTTTTCCCAATGTGGATATTATAAACTTCTTTCCAGTTGGGATTTTTGCCATTACTTTTTTTTTCAATAGCATTTCCTTGTGCTAAAACCATTTCCAAGGCTTCTTTATGTCTGATAATTTTTTCTTTGAATTTGTTCATTATTCTGTTATTCATTATTCTGTTATTCATTATTCTGTTATTAATTACTAAAATTTAGCTTCTTTTTTTAAATCTTCAATAGTTTTAACACCATCCTTTCCAACGTTATTTAGCACTCAATCAGGTTTAGCATAGTCACCCCCTTTAGTATTTGCCAATCAATTAGCAAATTTAGCATCGGAAACTAATAATCCCACATCTATTCATTCTTTGACTTGTTCGTAAGAGAAACCAAATTTATTTCATTCTTTGGCTTGTTTCTCAGTCATTTTATCAGTTTTATCGCTTAAGTCGGAATAATCAGTTAGAATATTTTTTGTTCCTCCAAGACCTCCAGTTAGTGAAGAAGTTTTGACTGTTTCATCGTAAACTATCGTAAAAGCAGGGCGATAGTCAACAAAAATTCATTTTCTTCAAATATGGTCTAATAATTTGTGACACGCAACATAACCATCTTTGAATAAGCATCTTTCAGCAAAATTACTTCATAGGTATATTCCCTTGCTATCAATTAGAGAAAGTTTTACATTACCAACCATATTACATGGAATTACTGTGAAAATTCTTTCTAATGCCTCCAAAGTTGGACTAGGAGACTGATAGATTGAGGCCACTTGTCCTTTGCCGTAAAGTGAATTATCAACAAAACAAAGAATTTCCTTAGTATTTCGAACATTGCATCTTTCGCCACGTTTGTTGAAAGATGTTGATGGGGAAACCATTTGATATCCAGTTGTGATTGCAATTTCTCCAACCAATTGTATATTTTGTAACTGATTAGCATTCAACTTAACTATTGCATTTTCGTGATACCGACTTAAATCACAAGCGAAGTTTTGGACAAACTCTTCATCGTAGAAATCGGCAATGTCATAAGCAACTTGCTTGGCTTGTTTGGCCACAGTTTCGGAAGCTTTGTCTCCTACTGCAATTTTTTCAATTGGTTCGCTGAAAACAGTGTAGAAAATTAATTTATCTTCGTCAGTAATTTCAGCCTTATGCGTCACAGCATCTCCTGGTCCGAATTTTTTTGATTCATAATCTCAGGTAAATTTCTTCGGTCGATTACTTTTTAAACCAACTATTTTTAAAATATCACCGGGGTTAGTCAAAACTTCAACATGTGGTAAAATTTTGCTATCTTTGATTACTTGATTTTGGATTTTGCCGATTACTGTTCGATTGCGTAATCCCTTTAAAAATTCATTTTCTAAATTGGGTAGGTTGTTTTCTAAATTGCTCATATTTTTTAAGAGCAGAAAACAATCGGGGGAAACCGGAGTTGTTTTCATACTCATAGAAAACAGTTTCCCCCTTGATTTGGAAAGACTTTACCAAACCAACGTCTATATTCAATAATTTTTTATTTATCGTTAATTTTATCTCACTCCTTTGAAAAAGAATCAGCAAATTTTTCTTCTTCAGTTTTAAAGTAATTTCCTTTATGTTCAACTTTTAATTCTTTTTTTTGTGCTAATTCACTTTCGGCTGCAATTCGAGCACTTTCTTCAGATTTAGTTTTTTTCATTAAATCGGAAATAGTGGTTTGTTGTTTACCGATTTGTTCTTCTAAAGTCGAAATGGTATTTTCGTGAGCAACAATTATTTCATCACGAGAAGCAACCGCTTTATTAAAAGATTCAACATTGAACAAAGCTGGATTGTTAGATTTTGATTTTTCTTTTTCGTTTGTTTCACTCATACTTTTAGTTATTTTGGTTATTTTCTAAAAGCAGAGAAAGCAAAAGGAGTCTTAATATTTTGCTTTCAATGCTATTACAAAACTAAGACTCCTATGAATTTATTTGGTGTTTTGGAAATCTAACGACTTCTTACTAACCAATTAAACATATATCTATTATTTTATTATACTAAGTGAAGAGAAATTTTAAAAAAATGAATAAAGTATGACCAATGAACCAAACCAACCATTTAATATCGAAGAATGGTTAGCCATTCAAAAGAAAGGATTTGGTGGAAAAATCTCCCGAGAGGTTTTCATTGCCAAAATGAAAGACTTGGGACAAGAGATAGAACAACTGAAAAAAAATCAAACCGCATTAGAAACCAAAAATAAAAAGTTGGAAGAGCAGTCGACAATCGCTCAAAGCGATTTAACTAGTCGCGACCAAATTATTACTCAAACTCAAAATAAATTAACCGAGCAAGAGAAAATTTTACAGAGTAAAGAGGAACAATTGCAACGCAATCTTTTAGTTTTACAAGATAAAGATAATGAATTACAAAAAAGACCTGATATTACTAAGGAAAAATTTCAAGAGCTAGTAAATAATCAAGAAAAGCATAGTGATCAAGACTTAAAACCTAATAATTTACCTGCTGATTGAGAAAATCAACTAGTCGAAAAGAATAAGTTATTCGCAAAGGTTGAAGAGATGGAAAACCAACTCAAAGCGGTTTATCACACTTATCCAATTATTATGGAAGAGGAAAAACCGGAAAATGTAAAGAAATATATTCAAGAGTTAGAAAATAGACCAACCGCCGAGCAATTACAGCAAGCTATTCAGCAAGAAACTGATAAATATAAAGACTATAAAAAACTAGATACTACAGAACAAGAGGCGATTAATAATTATTCAACTGTTAAAACTGAAAGAGATAATTGAATTGCTATTTTTCCTAACCAAAAACCCGAGGAAATTAAAGCCGAGTTAGATAAGCCCCGAGGAATTGTTTTATCAAGCGAAGAACAAAAGAAATTAAGTACTTATGAAAGTTTAAAAAGCGAATTAGAGCAGGTAAAAAAAGATTTAGACAAGTCTAATTCTTCTAAATCGGAAAAGGAAGGAGTCAAAGAATTAGGAAATAATAATAGTGAACTAATTACGAGAATAAAAAACTTAGAACAATTAATTACTTCTTTAAAGCAGGAAATAACAGAATCAAAGAGTAGCAAAAGGCAAATTCCATTAGAAACTCCCTCTGATTATAATTGTCTTAGAGAAGAAAACGAACAATTGTATGAAATATTAAAAACTTACAAATTAAGTTTATCAGAAAAATAAACTCAAAAATCTCTCTTTTTATTTAATTCATATTTTTTCTAACTTCAAGGTCCTAAATCTTCGTCATCATCATCTTGACCACTATTATACTCTACGACTTTGTTTTTACAAGAGGAACAAAAGTTATAAGTTTTTCCTTTTTTTAAACCTAATTCATTCGGTTCAGAAACATCTACTTTCATTCGATAAAGAACTGAAATAACCTCAGTTTGACAAAAAGCACAAAAAAAAAGTTTCTTTTCTTTTTTTTCTTTGGGCGGATTATGATAGCGGTCATAGCATTCGCGACAAGTTTTTACTGGTTCAGATTCGTAAAGTGGAACTGTGCTTGCTAATTCTCTAACATTTTTTTTTTCGGTGCAACTAGAACAAATAAACAATTCCGGATTATTTTTTTTTTCGTTTGGCATAATATTTAATTTTAGCAAATGACTAGTTTTTGCTTATTTCTCCCCTAATGGTGTATTAAGTCAGGAATAAAAAATAAAGATAGATTATATAATAATCTATAAGTCTAAATGGGTTATTTTTCTCCTAAATTTATAAGGGTTTCATAACGGATAGAACCTTAAAAATTAGAAATAAAGAAATTTTCAGAAATGCCGAAAGTTAAACCCGATTTTTATTTCAGTCAGTGAAATTATACTCCGAAAGATTTTAAGAAATGAGGTAAATTAGGTGGCAGGCCAAAAAAATATGTTTCGCCGGCCGAAAGACAAAAAGCTTATCGGCGACGAATAGTTCAAAAAAAAATAGAGAACGGAGAAGTAGTCGGAATTTTAAATATGACTACTGGAAGAATTAATAAGGGGAAAAATAATTTATTTGTTTTTCCTTAAAATATTATTTTTCTTCACTTGTTAAGATAACAAAATATTGCGGTCGTCCATTTACCATTTCTATGCTAGAATTAAAAGAAAAATTTTTATATTTAGTTAACATTCAATTTCTTGCTTCCCAAATATTTTCTTTTTGATAGATTGGAAATTTGTATTCTGTTTTTATTTCACTTAAATTTTTCCCTTTCATTTTAATATATTTATTTATTTTTTTGGAATTCACAATTTAGAATAATCAGCATATAAAGTTTGATAATCATTATGAATATACCCTAATGTAGTATCTAAACTGGAATGCCCTAACTGTTTCTGAATAGTGGCTAATTTCCCTCCGCTGTTATAAAGATTGGTTGCTAAACTTCTGCGAAAACTATGGGGACTAATATTTTTCTTGATTCCGGCTTGGTGACATTTTCTTTTGATATTTCTTCTAATTTGCCCCTTAGTGAGTTTTTTACCATTACGAGTTAGAAAAAGATAATTTTTAGAATAGGGATCAAAATGTTTAGTTAAGAATTTCGGTAGCAAAACAAACCTTATTTTACTACCTTTACCTAGTATTTTCAAAAGTCTATTTTTATAATCAGAATGGCGAATATTGATTAGTTCGCTTACTCTTAATCCGGTGTAGAATAAAAATTCAAGGATAAGTTTATTGCGTTCATTGGTTTTTCAATCGGTTTTAGTGTGGGTTAGTTTCAGATTTTCGAGTTCTTGGCGATCAATCGTAGGGAAAAACTTTTGCTGAATAGAGGGAATTATTTTTGCGACTTGTTCTCAATCAATACTTATTTTCATAAATTTAGCATAAGAATGAAGAGCATTTCTCCTATTTCTTAAAGTCGCTGGTTCGTATTTGGTTAGGTTTTCGCGAAGAAAATCAGCAATAGCATTGGTATTAATTTTCCTCTTATCATACTTACTAAGGATTCCTAAATAATTTTGGATAGTTTCAAGAGAGAAATTTTTTTGCTGTAATCACTGGGCGTATTTATTAAGTATACTAACATTTTTATTTTGTTTCATATACTAATTTTATACCGTTATAATATTAGAAAAAAACTAAATTGTTCCCTCGGCCATATAATTTCGAAGTTTCTGTCTTTTATTTAAATTACTAACTTGCCTTAAAAAATATTTTTTGTTTTTATATAAATTTCTTAAACATCTACTACAAACATACTTTTCGTTATCTTTTTCTTTTTCAGTATAATAACCTCAATTATTTTTCTTGCTGTAACCTTTGTGCGGAGGAACAAATTTAACTTCAAAGCTTCTTCCGCATTCAAAACAAGAAACAGTAAGTGGTTTTTTCATTATTACCATATACTAATTTTTATATACCGTTAATTTAAAAAGATATATAAAATAATAATATAGTCAATAAAATAAATTATTAATCTTTGATTTATTAGGTCAAGGCAAAACTAAAATAAAACTAGTTAAATTACTAATTTCGCCACTTTTATTCTGGTGCCTTGTAGAGGACTCGAACCTCTAACCTCTTGATTAAGAGTCAATTGCTCTACCATTGAGCTAACAAGGCTTTTAAAAAGTTTAGTTGAAATAAAAAAACAAGTTTTATCTATAAATTTGCGTATAAATACCTTTTTAATGATTTATCTTAGTTTGCTTAAAAGTTCGAAATCTAGTAAATATTTCCATACTAAACATCACCAAAATTTCTCACTGATTTCTGGAAAAATACAACCGAGCAAAACCCAATAATTTTTATTCCATTGGATAAATAATTGCGTTTTTTTTTTTTTTTTTTTTTTGCTATAAATTATATTATAAATATTTATGACATTAATAAACAGAGACAAATTAAAATTAAGTAAATTAACCCAAAAAACATCAAATTTAATTGATCAATTAGAAAGAGAATTTAATAGTTTACATGATGTAATTTGTAAACCTGCTTATGAAGAATTAGTTGAAAAAAATTTAGATACTTTACTAGATAGTTATATAACGAGTTTAAATTACCTTGATGAATGAAAGGGAGAAATAAAAGATGAGGATAAAAAACAAGATGAACATGATTACAAACTTCGTTATCTATATTTTGTAAATAAGGAAGGAAATAAACGTAGACATGAAGATAGAAGTTGGAAGTTTTGAAAAGAACAAATTGAACAAGCTGATAATAATGTAGACTTAAAAAAAGCGGTAAGTTTCGTTAAAAACGCTTTCACTAGGTTGGGTTCTAAGGTTGATATTGAAATAAGCAGGTTTCCTACTTTTGGCATATATTCTTTATCTTCTACCCTCAATAACCAACCAGCAGACCATATTGATGAAGAAATTGAAAAAATAAAAGAAATAAGAAAAGAAAAAGGTCCGAAACCAGCATCAGGAAAAAGGGAACTTCACGCTTGATCTGCTGCTTTACTTATAGCACAGAGAGAATTGCAAAAAAAATCTGACGAGGCTAGAAAAAGTGCAATGAAATCAGTTAGAAGGGTTAGCCAACAAATTGACGAGGTTAAATTTTATAGTGAGTTTAATGGGCAAAAAAATGTTGTGGTTCACGATAAATATAATATTCTCCCTAATTATCCTTCCATTAGTGATTGAGAAAAAGGAGTCCGGGAGGAAATTAATTGATTACCACAAGTAGGCTTCGAAAAAAAAGACAACTACTAGACCATTTAGAAAGAGTTCTCAACTCTAAGGCTTCATTCTATTCTTCTCCTAAATCTCCTGAAAATGATTCTTCTGAAACTCTTAATGAATGAGAAAAAATGGTTGAAGGAGGCAAACATAGTGCTATCAATAAAATTAAGTCCGCTCTTCAGTCAGCCGGACTTTTAGAAAGTGATTTAAGTGCCGAAAACCAAAATTGACAAGCACAAATAAAAGCGGCTGCTGAGGAAACTAATTTACGTGAAATTGAAGACATTGAAAGCAAGGTATTAGCGGATATTAAAAGTAAGAAAGATAACGAGGGAAATTACAAGGATAAAAATACCCCCAAAACTTCTGATGAATACAGTTTAGAAAAAAATAATAAGTGGCGTGATTTATGTATTTGAATTACCGAGAATGACATGGAAAAGTTTAAAATCACTGATGAGAATTTAACTCCGAAAAACCAGAATTGAAAGGAACAGTTAAATGCTTGCCAAGGAAGTGGTCAAGAAATTTCCTCTAAAATAACTAAAATTTTTGTTGAAGTTGGTTTAGAAATTGGACAAAAAGGAGCAGAAAAACAAAAAGCAACTGAATTAAACGAGGTTATTAACAAATATGAAAATGGTAATAAAAGTAATAAGGAAGAATTAACTAATGATTTAAGAAACCTGAACAAAAACCTTGGAGATGAGGAACCTGAAACTAAACGAAAACTTCGGAAGGCTAAAAAGCAAATGGCACAAAGCGATCCTGATATGTATTTTAATTCCTTTGTGGAATTAGTTGAAAAAGAAACTAAAAAATTGGAAGAGGAAACGAAAAAAGAACAGAAACTGAAAAAAGTTTTAGAGATAAGTAAAAGTAGCAGCGAAGAAGAGGAGAAAGAGGAAAAGGACTTATTAGCCGGAAAAATTACTGATCTTTCTAAAAGGGAGGAAATTATTGAGCGGATTGAAAAGAAACTAGAGATTAAACTGAGGGCTTGAAAATGATACAAAAAAGTAAAAGAATGAGCCAAATGATTAGAAACCAAAGCCAAACTATTGCTTAATAAAAATAAAGTTGGTTTTGAAACTCAAAAGTCCCAAATTGAGAAAGAACTTGAAAACCTTAAAAATACTTCAAACACTATTGATAAGCAAGCCTACCAAGCCAATAAACAAGAAATAACTGAGTTATCGAGCAAACTAAGCACTATTTCTCAAAATGATACGATAAATAATGATGGATCAATTGCTCCGCTAGTATATTTAGGAATAGTTATTTTGGCTTCTTTTGTAGGACTACTAATTATATTAAGTCAAAGAAAAAGGCAGAAAAATTAGAAAATATTTTCCGAGATCGAAAGTAAAACTGATTAGACTTAGAAGATAAAATAAAAGGATAGCAAAAATTTGGTAAAAAAGTAAGTAAAATGCAAAGATAAAAAAACTGATTATTTAAGTGGTTCATAGAGATGTTTTTCCAACGGTTTTATTTTAACTTCGCTTATAGAACTGAAATTCAAGCAATTACTCCAAGTTATTTTTTTTTGACTAATATTAAAAACTTCCAATATTTTCTCACTAGTCTTAGGAACAATAGGGCTAAGTAAAAATCCAATAATTTTTATTCCATTGGATAAATAATTTAGGGTATAATTCAAAAGAGCATTATCGCCCTTTTTTGCTATCTCTCAGGGAGCTAAGTCAGAAATTAATTTATTAGTCTCATCAAGGAGAGTTTTGATTTGGGAAAAAGCATTAGTTAGTTCATATTGATCCATTTTTTTTTGAAATTCTTTTACAGTAAATTCACACTTTTTCTTGTATTCTGTTAACTTTTCATTTTTCGGTTCCTTCTCTAGCGAAGGTATAATTCCTTCCCGATAAAGTTGGAGCATTTTGTTGACCCGAGAAACTAAATTACTTAAATTATTTACTAAAAAGTCTTGGTAAAACTCTTTTAATAAATCTTCATCGCAAACCCCGTCTTGCAGAAAGTTGATTTTAGCCACAAAGTAGGTGCGTAACAAATCGGAAGGATATTTTTTTAATAACTCCAACGGATCAATAACATTACCTTTACTTTTACTCATCTTTCCCTGCGAAGTAGTCAGCCAACCATGCGCTAAAATCTTACTTGGTAAGTTTTTATTTAAGGAAAAAAGAATAATCGGTCAATAAATCGCATGAAAGCGGGTTATCTCTTTTCCAATAAGATGAACAATTTCGCAAGTAGTTAGTTTTTTTAGTAAATATTCGTTTACTTCATCCCGGTCTTGAGAGTTAATTTCCTGGACTTCGCTTATTCCTAAGAACTTAATTTTCCCGATCGTTTCTTTTTCTTTAATTAATAATTTCCCCGAATATTTTTCGGTTCGATAAAAATAAAATTTTCATCAAATATTATTAGCATAAAAATTTTCTTCACCAACTATTTCTAAATCTTCAATTACTAAATTAGTTTCTTCAAAAACTTCCCTTTTGGCCGCTTCTAAGGGTGTTTCGTTAGCTTCTATTTTACCACCAGGAAATTGTCATTTATTATATTTTTTATTGTAGACTAAAAGATATTCGTTGTCTTTATTTTGGATAACTACGCAGGAAACTTCTTTCGCCTCGTCAATTTTTTTTTCGCTAGAAAATTCAGAAAGGAATAATTTCCCCCCTGGTTCGGAGTTAAGATAATTAAGCAAAGCCTCAAATCAAACATAAATCACCATTTTTTCCTTATCGGGAACCGGAATACCTCATTTAATATCACTGCGAGTAATGCATAAATCACGGATATCGTTTTTGAGAAAATTTTCAAATAATTCTTTTTTAATATTAGCAGGTAAAAGAAAGTTAGGATTTTGCGAATAAAATTTTAATAACTTAGGATAATATTTACTAACTCGCAAAAAATAGGCTGGTTCGTCAACTTTCCGCAGTTCAGTTTGACAATTAGGAGCCGGACAAAGGTTATTATTAATAACTTTGCCCTCACTTACATAATCTTCACACGCAACACAATATTTACCTTGATATTTTCCTAAATAAATATCGCCTTTTTTTAATAATTCTATGAAGATTTTTTGAACTTTTTCTTTATGGGTACAAGAGGAAGTGCGATAAAAAATATGTTCAGAAATACCTAACACTTTTCATAATTGCTTGAATAAGAGCACATTTTTATCCACTAACTCTTGAGGAGAAATCCCTAATGATTTAGCTTTTTTTTCAATTTTTTCCCCATGTTCGTCACTACCAGTTTGAAAGTAAACTTGATAGCCTTGACTTTTTTTATAACGGGCAATTATATCAACTAGAACCATTGTATAAGCGTGTCCTATATGTAGGCGATCGTTAGGATAAAAAATAGGTGTGGTTATATAGAAAAATTTGTGGCTCATGCAATTTACTACATTTTTAATAATTAATTTCCGTTTTTAATACAAATTTTATAATCATCTCTCAACTTCTCTTTTACAATTCC